TTAATATAATCATCGGTGGCTTTATGGTTATTTGGATTTATCAGATCAATGTTATAATCTCCACAGATAAATATTGATTTATTACTTACTGTTGAAAATGTTTTTTCAGACCAATCTGTGAATAGTTCCAGACTTGAGCCTGGTGACTTGTATAGACAACTGACAATAATGTTTTTCTTCTTTACACTGACGATTTCTATTGTTAAACACTCAAGTAGGTCATCTATTGATGTTGTCATATTCTCGATTACTCTGAATTTGTATTTCGTATGGACGTATATAGCAACTCCTCCTCCTGCTTTGTTAGTTCTGCTTACATAGTTTAAGTTATAATTGTTTAACTCAAAATCTGTGCCTTTTATATCATTAAACCATGTTTCAGAAATTGCTATAATGCTAAATGGGTTTACAAACTGTAGTAGGTAATTTTTAATTGAACTGAAATTGGCATACATGCTCCTGCTGTTGAAATGAATGATTGAGAATGTCCCTTCTGATTTGATGGTATTGTTAAATTCATTTTCAGTGTAATATTTGCAATTGATTGAGTCAGCTGATAGAAATTGGTTGTCCGGGTCTAATTGGTCTTCAAAGTCTAGCGTGACTTTCATGATCAGTATATTCAGATGTTTTTAGCTGCAAGAGTCCAGAATCTCTTGTTGAGAGACTATATTACTATCTGTAATAAATGAAAGCGGATTAGTTGTCATTCTTTGAGTACTGTAACAGATACCCTATGTTATTATTATCATTATTATTTTCCCACTCATTAACTCACTCATATTTGTTCAGTTCCTGAATATCTTTAATAATCAACACTCGAGCTTCTTCAAACTTAAAACTTAAGGTCAGATCACAATTTTTTTTATTCTGATTCTGCATTACTAAAGGCTCTGATCCTCTGATGACATCATAGCCGTATCTTTTTACCTGATCAAAGACCAACACTGTGTGTTATTTTAGGACACAGACTAATGCAGGTCAGTTTCTGTCCTTTATACTATTTAATAATTCCCTAAAAATTACACAAACCTCACCTGAAGTTTTCCCTTTGAAAAACACTCTAATATCCATCTTTGCAGCTAAGTCCACTCTTGCTAACACATTTACAGTGTAAATGTGGTTTTTTGCTTTCAGTATGGGGTTATATTCAATATTGTAAATATAACAAAGCTATCACAACACAGACTAACTGTGCTACTTCATCAAGTGACAGTGCTGAAGATGTCATTACAGAGCTAGCTATAGGTTTGTTTTATTTGTTAGTATAAAGCTAAGGGCTTTAGGGCTTCATAATCTATCTATACCATATAAAACATGAACTGTGTGTGACAAGCAGGAGATAAGTAAATGTGACGCCAAATGACTCAATTCAAGAGAACTTTACGGCGGACTTGTCCATGTTAGATCTGCCACAGACACAGACACGGAGCACCAGTGTTTAATACAGCGTCAGCAGCAGAACTGTTCACATAAAGTTTATGGGAAAAGATGGGATAGAAAATGAATTACCAACCAAGTAAACGTGAAAGTCACTGGCAAACACTGCTGTAGCTCAGTCTCAGCGCACAGACAGACACAGACACAGACACAGACACAGACAGACACAGAGGTCAGAGAAGCAGACGCAGCGGGACCTGAGCAGAGCAGGTGCGCGCCAGCGTCTTTTTTTTTTATTCGCGGTGCGTTCTCTGCATGAAATGGAATGACTCCAGACATTTTTAAATAGATGGTAACAACATTTATTTTTATTTTTTTTTGTTCTATAATTTTAAGGCAAGGCAAGGCAAGTTTATTTGTATAGCACAATTCATACACAAGGCAATTCAAAGTGCTGAACAGAACAAGAAAGCATTAAAATCATAAATAATCACAGTACATTAAAAAAAAAAAAGATAAAAATATAAAATCCCTCAGTTGTATGCACAGCTAAACAGAACTGTTTTCAACCTTGTCTTAAACATTGTCAGAGAGGAGGCCTGTCTCACATCTTCAGGAAGACTGTTCCAGATTTTAGCAGCATGAATCTGAAAAGCAGCCTCCCCATGTTTAGTTCTGACTCTGGGCACTAACAGGAGTCCAGTCCCTGTGCTCCTCAGAGTCCGGGCTGGTTCATATGGGACTAACATGTCACTAATATAGTTTGGTGCGAGGCTATGGAGAGATTTGTACACAAGCAGAGCTGTTTTAAAGTCTATTCTCTGAGCCACAGGAAGCCAGTGCAGGGACCTGAGGACCGGACTAATGTGGTCGTACTTCCTGGTTCTAGTCAGGACTCGAGCTGCTGCATTTTGAATGTTCTGCAGCTGTTTTACAGCCTGTTTGGACAGACCTGTGAGCAGGCCATTGCAGTAGTCTAACCTACTGGAGACAAATGCATGGATAAGAATCTCCAAGTCTGCTTTAGACACTATGTTTTTGATCCTGGCAATGTTTTTTAGATGGTAAAAAGCTGCTGATGTTACTGATTTGATGTGGCTATTAAAATTTAAGTCTGAGTCCAGTATTACCCCTAGATTTCTGACCTTGTTTGAAGGTTTTAGGGAGAGAGACTGTAGGTGACAGATGACGCTCTCTCTTTGTTTCTGGGGACCAAAGACAATCATTTCAGTTTTGTCTGCGTTTAGCTGAAGGAAGTTGTTTTGCATCCACTCACTGATCTGTTGGATACAGTGAAGGAGTGAGTCCACTGGTCCATGTTCTCCTGCAGTCAGTGAGACATAGATCTGAGTGTCGTCTGCATAGTTGTGATAGGACACTTTGTTTCTGCGTATTAACTGACCTAACGGCAGCATGTAGAGATTGAACAGAAGAGGTCCCAGGATCGACCCCTGTGGTACTCCACAGGTCAGGGCCATATGATCTGAGACACAGTCTCCAATCTCCACAAAGTACTTCCTGTCTTCAAGGTAAGACCTAAACCAACTTAGGGCGGTGCCAGCGACTCCAACCCAGTCCTCTAGTCTCTGTAAGAGGATCTCATGGTCGACGGTGTCAAAGGCAGCACTCAGATCTAACAAGATTAAGATTGAGACTTTGCCTGCGTCAGTGTTCAGCCGGATATCGTTTGTAACCTTGACAAGAGCAGTCTCAGTGCTGTGGTGGGGTCTAAAGCCGGACTGAAACATATCAAATGAGTTGTTAATTATAAGAAATCTAGTAAGCTGTAGGTAGACAACTTTTTCAAGGACTTTCCCCATAAATGGCAGATTTGAGATGGGACGATAGTTGTTAAGTACCGTAGCATCCAGGCTGCTCTTTTTTAGCAGGGGCCTGATGACTGCAGTTTTCAGGGCCTTTGGGAATATTCCAGAATGAAGGGACATGTTTACTATCTGTGTGAGTGAAGGTAACAGACTGCTCAGAACAGACTTCAGAAATCTAGTGGGTAGTACATCCAGGCTGCATGTGGAGGAGCTCAAACTGGAGATTATTTCTTGGACATTTTTATCATCTACAGGTGCAAAGTAAGTTAGCTCAGAGAGCCTTTCTGGCTGTTGGATGGTTATCTGTGGATTGGAGACAATGGCGTTTTTGATGCCTTGAACCTTGTCATTGAAAAAGTGTGCAAACTCATTGCATTTACGTTTGGAAGTTAGCTCTAATGGCATCTGAACAGGGGGGTTTGTTAATCTATTAACTGTTGAAAACAGAACACGCAGATTGTTACTGCAGCCTTCAATCATTTCAGAAAAATACCTTTCTCTCGTACTACGTAGCACCCGGTTAAACTCGCACAACTTATCTTTGAAGATCTTGTAATCAACCTGGAGGTTGGACTTGCGCCACTTCCGCTCGGCCCTCCGGCACTTTCTCTTTTGTGCCCTGACCGAGTCTGCTTTAGCCCACGGCGCCTTCTGCTTATTTTTCACTATATTAACCTTCACAGGGGCAACGGTATCCAGAACATTCAAAACACTAGAGGTGACAGAGTTAAACAGTTCATCTACAGTAGAATACGATGCATTTTACGATGCAGTTTATCATTCCCATAAATAGTTCACTCGTATTTTCATTTATGTGTCTTCCTCGAACAGTTGCAGAGTCCACTGGTGGTTTGTTAGTGAAACACATGTCAAAAAATACACAGAAATGATCCGAAAGAGCAACATTGACCACGCTTATATTTGAAATATTCACCCCCTTTGTAACTAACAGGTCTAGAGTGTGCCCTCTGCTGTGGGTGGGGCCACTCACATGCTGAGTGAGACCAAAGGTATCAAGTAAAGAACTCAGCTCTTTTAGGGGTGCTTGACATATTTTTAGGGGTGCTTGATCATCATGCAGCTTTTAGGGGTGCTTGAGCACCCCTAAAAAGGGGCTAGCTACGCCCCTGTTTGTAAGTACTGCCTACAAAACACTTTCAGGAAAAATACATATCTGTGTCTTAAATTAGGTCATGCTATGTTAGATACTATAATTGTAAATGCAGAACGAAATACTGCTATGAAATGATACTATGAAATGTATAACTTATAGCTAGCACAAAATGGGTCTGTTTTGTTCAACTTGAATCATATTTTGTTTTTATGATGACAACATTTCACATTATAGTGCCAAAGTACATATTGCCAACATCATGGTTAAAGTATTACATGTTGATTTTCCCAACATAAAGAATGCTGAGTCCATGTTATTATAAAACATCTTATTTTTTGTATACAGAAAGAATGAGTCAGTATTTGATTCTTTGAGCTGAGAGTGGTCCTCCATTTTTCACTTTTATATCTCAAAAGCTGACTCAACATTCAACAATATTCATTGACCTTTGATAGTAATATTTCATGTACATTAAACTCTAAATAAATAAACACTCGACTCAACTCATAGAAAATACATGCATGACAAAACGACTGATAAAACCAACTGCTGTGAGAGCGAGGAACTACATGGATTTTCAATATTCGAACCATCAAGATAATGCAATATTGTTGTTCTTATAAAATGGTTTATAAAGTAATGATATTCTTTAACTTCAATTTTTGTGGATGTTCACACAGGTCTTATTGAGCAGCGAGATTCTCAGCCTCTTCTCAATCTCATTGAGAGCATCGGAGACTGGCCTGTGGCGACGGAGAACTGGAACAGCACAGGTACGAAGCTGTAGGAATCTTACTATTTACTGTAAAGAGGAGACAACATGTGTCTGTCTGATAGATAGATAGATAGATAGATAGATAGATAGATAGATAGATAGATAGATACTTTATTGACCCTTGTAGGAGTAATTCAGGTGTCCAGTAACAGCAGAAACACATTCATCCATACCAACAGAACAAATAAATGCATAGATAGCTGTTCAGATAGTGCTAAGGTGGTGTTGACTGCTGTAGGTGACTGCAGCTGGGTAAAGGATCTCCTAAAGTGCTCTGATCTGCAGCGTACAGACAGGAGGTGGGTGTTGCATCTCTGAGCTCTGTGTAGTCTCTGAGGCTGCTCACAATGGCCTGGATCTTTCTCATCATGCAGCTGTCCAACAATCAAGTGGAAATTTAGTTTTAATTTGAAGAGGATACTGTAAACCCGGATCTTGAAGCAGTGACGATACCCAGAATGCATTGCAGAGACAAACAAACGTCTGAAAAATTCTACATTTGAGCATTAATTTTGAGAGTGAATATGGAGCAAGTCCTAAAGCAATAATAATAGCAGCATTTTGAATAAACTAATTTGACCAAATAAATCATTGTATTTATATTTACCAACCGTAATCGACAGGGCCAAGCCAAAGTACACTTACACTGCCTGGGTCATCATTGGAGAGAGTTCAAATAATATTTAAAGGTCACTTTGCTTCCATGCAATACTTGACTGTCACTAAGTTCAATTGAGTTGTATGTGTCATTGTTACTCAATCTGAGAGTTGTAGAGTTCAGGACCTTAAGACTAGTATATACTGTAACTGTTGAATGAACTTGTATCGTTATGTTCATGGTATTTATAAAACTAAAACGGATTAGTACAAACAACTTATGAGTTAGTTTAGTGAGCTAATGACTGTTAGTAAAGACTGTGCTTAATGAACTTATATTGTTATGTTTATGGTATTTATAAATCTAATCTTTATTGAGGGAACGAGTTTCCTTAAGACGCATTAGTTTTGCCCACTATCCGGGTTTACAGTGTAGGGCCAGTCTATGAACAGACATATAATGAGCATTAATGTAAAAAGCATGCAACATGTTAGTCCCAGGGGTCAGGGTCAGAAGAGGTTAATACTAATAATATCAATAATGCATTTATTTTATATCATGCGTCACACGTTGTTCTTTCTCTCCATACACTGTGGTTATAAACTACTACTGTAGCCACAGCTGCCCTGGGGCCCACTAACAGAGAAAAGGCAACCAGAATGTGCCATCGGTCCTTCTGACCACAACCAACCAATTGCGGTTGGAACTTTACAACCGCAGCCCCCCTTCTGTGTCACCTGATGTTCCCAGAGGTCTCCCATCACAGTACTAACCATGCCCTGCACTGCTTATTTTCAGAGATTTTCAGAGATCAAAGAACATTTACAGCAATTAAAATCATATACAACATGCTTTCTTATTTTGTTCAGCACTTTGAATTGCTTGTGTATGAATTGTGCTATATAATTAAACTTGCCTTACCTTGCCTTTGTCATATTCAGTGGGAGCAGATAAAAGGAAGTGCGTTGCCTTATGGCAGGAGTGTCAAACCAGTCCTTAAAGGAACAGCTTAGTTGGAATGAAAACCTGCAGCCACACCAGCTCTTTCTTGTTTGACACTTGTGCCTTATGGCGACTTTCCATGAGTCAAAATCATATTTAGAACCTGATGGCAGCTCAGGGGCCTCTGCGTGAGCCTATAAGTTTGAATGGGTTTTAGAATAACTCTTAAAAGGCAGAGGTTGAGCCCGACCTTCACCATCGACTCCCACTGTCTGCTGTCGTTGTGTCCTTGGCAAGACACTTAACCTCTGGGAACACCAGCCACAGTGGGGCGGCTGCGGCTGTAAAGTGCCAAACTGCCGTTGTGTCCTTAGGCAAGACACTTCACCCCCATTGCCTAGAATGAGAACATACTGGTTGCCTCGCTTCTGTCAGTGTGCCCCAGGGCAGCTGTGGCTACAGTAGTAGTTTATCACCACCGTGTATGGCGTGAATGCATAATGACATGTAAAGCGTCTTTGAGTGTCCAAAAAAGCGATATATAAAACTGATGCATTATTATTATTATTATTATTATAACTAAATCTATGAAATTATCTGCTTTTAACACCACAAGAGTTGTGTGTCTTTTAAATTCAAATATATTCCCATGTTTTTTTCCAATTTTTTTTATTTTTTATATTTAATTTAACTTATTGCCGGCAGACTTGAATGATGATGACTATTGTCATTATCGTCATTATTTGTTTCTCTATTTCACTTTGGAAACTGTTGGTTTTTACAAAATATTGAATGTTGAAGAATCAATGCTTTCATTCAGTACAACTCTAGACTTTTACAACAGAAAGTATGCACATGTTCACCTTCCACTGACAGGTCCCTCATTCAGCAAACTCTGCACTTCCTCCACTTTAATTAAAGTGATCATCGACTTCCACAGAATCAGCTCAAACAGAGGGATTCGCTGAGTGGAAAAAGTGCAACAGAAGCAGAGGTCTCCATATTCATCAGGTTAAAGTTGTGTGTGATTTCAGAGGAGGTCTGGAGCCTGGAGGACACTCTGGCCACGCTCACAGCTCGCTTTCACAAGAAGGTCGTGCTGGACTTGTACGTGTGGACAGACGACCGCGACTCGCAACGACACGTTATCTATGTAAGAGCCGCCTGAGCGACGCCGTCTGAGGCCACAACCGGCTGTTTGAACCATTTCCATGTCTCTAATGTCCAGATCGATCAGCCGGGACTGGGGATGCCGTCTAGAGATTACTACTTCAACGATGGAAACTACAAAAAGGTGATACGTCATGTGACATCACAGCAATCCAAAGAGACTGTAGTTTAATAGGTTGGTTGAATGCAACTGAAAAACCTGTCCTGATGACAAGGCTACACTTGGAAAAAAGTGACAAAAAATAATGTCAATCATTGTTGGAATCAGGAAACTGTTTAAAGTCCAAATTGTTATTAATTTGGACTTAAAACATATGGTTAAGGATGTTTATATTATTATCATTATTATTATAAAAGGTTTTAAAGTAGCATAATATTAAAAAACAAATGCATGATGTTGGCGCCAGAGAAGTGTCAGGTTTGTGAATGTAATCATTTCATAGTAACACTCTGCGACAGTCGGATCTTTAACATCTATGGAGTCAAGCAGCCCAAAGCAGCTCACTTATCTTACAATTTGAAAATAGAAAACACATTTGTTTGAGAATAGACAGCATGGCTTCACAAAACCACTAACAATGGATGAAAAAAGTAAAAGCTTTGTGATGTGGCCACTCTCACTTTTGGTCAGATTTTCACATACTGCTTCTCTAAGACAAAAATAAGACAAGTACAAATGTCTTGTTTTGAAAGAGACAAGAATAGTGTAGTAGTGTAGTCATAGTATAGTGGTTCCATTTTTTGTAAATTTCCATTGAGAGATCAATAAAGTTTATCTTAGGACAATACAAATGTTCAATTCAAGATGAACAAAAGTCTGCTATCTGTTAGAGCTCATGTCTCTGTCTCGCTTGTCAGTACATACTTATACCTACCTATACTTTATACTTTTATTGTCCCCGTGGGGGCATTTGTCCTCTGCATTTGACACATCCTTCCAAAGCCACTAGGCCTCTGTCAGGAGCGGTGGACACTGCAGTAAAGCGCTCGGGGCCCATGTCCAGATGTTGCTGCTCTTGGTCAGGACCAGAGAAGGATTTTACCCACTGTACATGTTTTGAGTGGAAACCGAAGCGCCTGGAGAAAACCTACACAGACATGGGTAGAACATTCAAACTCCACTCAGAAAGGCCCTGCAATTTTAAGCGTCTGTGAAAGGCGCCATATAAATAAAGATTACTTACTTACTTCTCTGACCGGGATTTGAGCCCAGGACATTCTTGCTGAGAGCGTTAACTACTCAGCCCCATCTGATCAACTATGGACTTATTACTCTCTCAAAGCGGTGTCCAGAAGTGGTGACAATATTCAAAAACACATGCATGATGTTGGCGCCAGCAGAAGCAGAGGAGTGACAGGTTTGTGAATGGAATCATAGAAACGCTCTGCGACAGTCGGATCTTTAACATCTATGGAGTTGGTCATTTTCCTATTATTTCCTGGGCTCAATCATCCCAGCTCAATCATCTTATAATTTGAAAATAGAAAACACATTTGTTTGAGAATAGACAGTATGGCTTCACAAAACCACTAGTAATGGATGAAAAAAGTAAAAGCTTTGATGTGGCCACTCTCAACATCGAGACACGATCAGGGTGGAATTTCACTGCAACACTGGGTTGTATTATCGTTCCAGTGTAACTCCTCAGATGCAGAAAGTGTTCTACGTTAAAAATGTAATTGAATTTTTTAAATATGAATCAACGCATTAAAGTCCCGGCCCTAATATTGATACAAGATAATCCTTTTTGAAACAATCTCATAATAAATCAATGTAATCAATCCGACCAAATATGACAGTGTTATTATGGTATTTATTTCTCAGACTGTGTAGATACTTGCTGCCTCCAAATCTCCAAAATTTCTACATCATGTGTTTTCAGTCAATATCTAACATGACTAAAATGAAATGAAAAGACCTATTCTTGCAACAATTATTTCTTTAATGTGTCAAATAATAGTTTTCATTCTCCATTCCTTTCAGAAATTACTATGAAAACAACCCTTACGCTTTCAACCCCTATTAGTTTATAACATGAACATGATTAATGTTGGAAAATGTGTTGCTAATTCAAATTCTATGCTATTCTCGAGACTCATTATTAGTTTGTGGTTCGCAAATGCACTTTGGAGAAATGCCTTTTTGTTAGTCCCATTAAAAACAAGAGCTGCAACATCACATGAATTTCTTTCCTTGTCCTTTCCTTTTCCTTTCCACTGACCTTGGTGGCTTCACATTTACTGGCGTGGCTTTTAAAAGTATTAAAAGGGTCCTAAATTTCACTTGATCAAATCTGGAGGATCCCTGTCTCATAAAAGGTCAATTCAAACAAGTTTTTGAAAAATGAAATTGGATGCAGCCATGCTCAGCAGTCATCAGTAAAGGAATATTTTATTTGACATTCCATCCGCCTCACTGTTGAGAAGCATGTTTGCATTTCTAAACAACTCACAATACATGGCGCCATTCATTCTTTTGGTTCGTCCTATCCTTTTTGCACAAAATCATCCCCAAACCGTTATGTTTCCACCCCCATGCTTCAGAGAGTACTTGGGACGCAACTGAATTTTATTATTCTGCATTTCATGTTATTTTTGTTTTTTCCCCGTAGGTTCGAGAGGCGTACCTCCACTTCATGGCTTCCATCGCCAAAATCACTCGCGAGGACAGAAACTTGACTCAGGACGACGATCGGGTTTTGGAAGAGATGATGGAAGTGCTGGAGCTGGAGACCGACATCGCAAACGTGAGCTCTGCCATGACGGCGACACAAAACAAGGGGCTTTTAAATGTTGAGGTTGCAATTAAAGTGAAAATATATTCAACAATTTGACATTTATTCCCGATTATTATTACTACATTAACAAAACAACTGCCTCAATAGGTTGGATCCATGTGACATCACAAAGGTGGCAAAGTTTAATTTACTTTATAAAGGGGTCGAATTTGTTGGTCAAATGATTGGTCTACTCCAACCTACTGGTGCAAACAACAATGATACTCAACTAAACACAAACATTCATTAATCTACCGCACAACACGAACATATTATTTTTTACTGTAATATTTTACAAAATCTTTTTTATGGTGACCTGAAAATCATTGAAAATTAGAGATGAACCGTAAACTGAGGAAATGCTCTATAACAGCATGAACTATGAGTAAAAATGAAGCAAATACAGAACTAGAGCTTGATAATAAATAAACTCTCCTTTTTACAGTTGTTTGTTTCAATTTGAGCGCCTTCTGAGAAAATGCTTCTGTTTATTGCAAATTATTATTGTTTCATTTTGCTGGTTGTTGAAACGGCTGTGTGCTTGGTGCTTTAATTGTAATTGGGTTTTATGGGGTTTGGCTTCAATACGTTTTTCACTTCAGCCAAAACCCTTTCAGTCAATTGTTTATGCTTTGTAGACTACTGTCAGTCTGAGTGAAGATACAGACTGAAATGAATCAACTAAAGGATCTCTTCGTCTTAAAAACAGGTTCTTGTATAGTGGAGATGGGAGGAATCTAAACGCAGTGCCAAGATTTTAGTCTGTGGCTGAGTGTGAAATGTGTTTGAAGATACTCAAACACGAGAAGGCACAATATGTCAATTTAAAGGCTGAGGTGGAATGAGTTTGCTTTTGTTCAGGCCACGTCTCCGGCAGAAGAGCGACAAGACGTCACGGTTCTCTACAACAAGATGAGTCTGAGTGAGCTGCAGAGCACATACAGCTTCAATGTGAGTTATTGTGTGCAGGGAATACATTAATGGGGGACAATGGGGCATTTAACCATGTTTTTTTTAAAGTGATAGTCTGGAACTCTAAATGAGGCCTTAAATGTTGATATAAAATAAGTCATTTTATGAATTCTAATATTATGGGTAAGTCCCGCCTTCCCTTCTCTTAGCTATAGCTCAAAATCCACAATACCAACCACGTTAACCAATCAAGTGATGCCAAGGGCTGTCAATCATCGGCGCTCATGCTCGTAACTGCGCGCATGCTCAGTTGTTTGTTTTCACGGAGCCTCTGAATCAAGTCTCATTAGGCTCTGGAACTAAATAAAAACTGAACAAAGAATTCTGAACATCCGCGTTGAGTTACCCATTTATATACTGAACCTATATCCATAATCAGATCCTCTGCAGATGTGTCCTAAAGTGTTCAAATGCTAATAGCTACTTCCGGGTTTGCCGCAATCGTTTTTTTGTGCATTAAAACATTATTTTTATCATGAAAACGTTAACAAATAATTCTGAAAACCTCCGTGCATGTGTATTAATAATGTATATGTGTAATGTGTTCTCTGATTAACATTTGAATGTGTTGATTGATTGTTACGGAAACGTAGGTGTAGACCAATCAGAAAGGAAGGGGGAGGGAGCTTGGGTCGTTTTTTTCAAATCAAGTACCTCTCTCTCTCTTTTCTGACAATCACTTTAATGTTCTGTGATCAAGAAGGGTTACGAATGACTTAACTGTGGAGAGGATTAAGGATGACTTACCTCGAGCTGTTTTTGGAACCATTCACACTAAAATCGGAGGCTTCTGGCACAAACATGTAACCCCGCCCCTTCTGCATACAAGCTTCTGTCTCAGTCCTGTAATAGTATGACGTCACTGTATCACTATGATATCATGCTCGGAGCAGTTATCTGCTTTTTAAAACAAAAGTAATGCACATTAATTAGTTCTGTTAATGCAGGTGATATGACGTCATTCTGACATTTGGATTTTAAAAAACTAGACTTGTTCCACACGGCAGCTTAGGGAGTTACAAGGGGAAAGTTTTTTTTAACCTTCGTACCTGTTTCTCCACATATGTTCAATATTACTTTACATTCTACACCATGATATGACAAAGTAAAACTAAAAAGTCTAAGGATCCTGTTTAATGGCTAAAAATAATGCATCATATTTATTTACTATTCATTTATTGTCTTGTTATAGCTTCTGGATCTCTTGTTAACAGCAACAGTTTGGCCGTGGTTAGCACTCTCGCTTCTCAGCCAGAAGGTCCTGGGTTCGAATCCAGTTGGAGAACGGCCTTTCTGAGTGGGATTTTATGTTCTCCCTGTGTCTGCGTAGGTTTCCTCTGGCTGCTCTGGGTTCCCTCACCACTAATGGATAATAAGCAAAATCCTACAGCTCTAGTCCTGAGACCCTAGCGGCATGGAAGGATGGGTCAAATGCAGAGGACCCATTTCCCTACGGCAGGGGTGTCAAACTCATTATGGTCGTGGGGCGGAATATAAAAAATAGGAACTAAAAGAATAGAGGTTTTTTTTTTTTTTTTTTTTAATAACTTTTTGACATTACTTTTATGTGACATGAGTTCAATTATTATTTTCTGATTGATTTTTCTGGAAACAAAATGTGTTTATTGTTTAGATTTAACTAAAACTGGACCAAATGTATTGTTTTATATTTAACTATTTAACATATACCGATGTGTTGGGTTAATAAAGCCGGAGTTTGACATGTCTCCCATAAAGTATAACTATAAAGCAGCAAAACAGGGAGAGTAACATTTTGTGACAAGACCAAGAATCTTCAGTTCAAGACATTATTCCGCATGAAATGAAATGACAAGTTAATAGCCTTGTATGTTTTTACGAACAAATAGAATGCATATTATGTTTTCTTTAATACAAGAAGCTATTGAAAGTTTATTATTTTCTCATTTACAGACTTAAAAGTTGTATTCAGAATCGTCTTTAATCTTTGTCAGTGCAATTCCGAGGTATTGTACACGAATACTTGTATTTTTCAAAGTACTTCTTCCTAAAATTATCATGAAATTAGATAAACATTGAGCTAAAGCATCTTTCTCACAGTTAAATATGCAAATGTGTTTTATGTCCACCCTCGTTGTAAAGAAGTTATTTAGTTGTTAATTAATCTCCATCACTGTTCAGATAGACTCGCTGCCGTGTCATTGGTTTGACAGACTATAAATCCAATTACTAAAAGTTTTGATGGTTTTGTGTTTGGCCGTGTAAGAAAATCACTTGAGGTTTATCAAGTTGGGGACAAGGATTTCAGCCCAACTAGAAATGTTAGCGTGATTATATGAGGTATTTGGTGATGAGTAAATAGAACAGAGAAGACCACAGCAGCATTGCATAGAATTAGACTTCTATGAAAAAACATGAAATTAGTTTGTTGAAGATAAGTCTCATCTTCTTTCTCATAATTTTATAGTTGTCTTTGAATGAGCTACAATGCAGTTATTGTCTTGTTATAGCAGTTTGAACCATGCCCGTTGATCAAACTTAAAGACAAAAAAAAAAGCATTGTTTTGGCCAAAATAACATTTAATGAGACTATTTACAAAGTCATTCCATGTGTAAGAATGTAAAATCACATCTTTAGTTGAAAATATTTGCGGAAACGAGTATGGAGGGTAAATAACGCTTTTGGCTTGCGCTATTCCTATGAAACCACAAGAGGTATTTTTATTTTTTTTTTTTATATTTGAAAATTACCAGCTGCAAACACATAATTGTAAAGAACGTTATTTCACCTGAGAAAAAACTAAAACTTGTTAATGGGCTATACTTAAAAAAAAAAAATGGCAGAAGACAACTACAGGACTGAGACTGGAGCTTTTAGAGAGAAGGGACAGAGTTACACAATTGTGCCAGAAGTTTCTGATAACAGCCTGGATGGATCAAAAACATCTCCAGGTCTCCATTTGATGAGGGAGCAAAGTTGTAACATGGTTAAAAGCTTAAAGAAAAGTACATTTTGCATAATACATCACATTTTTGTCGGCTTGTAGAGCTGTGTTTATTTTATTTATTTCGTATTTGCATGTTTAATTATGTATGTATAGTTATTTTTATATTATTTGAATTGCTTTTATGTAAAGTTGGCAGACTTAGTAAATGTAAATGTCTGTGCAGCACTTTGGAAACATGTTTTATAAAATGTGCTGTATAAATAAAGTGGATTGGATTGGTGTCGTAAGTAATGCTGTTTAAAATATTTTTCTCATATTATTCCTTTTTGTGTAGGGTTTTAACTGGACCAGATTCATCCAGGGCGTTCTCTCCAGTGTGTCAGTGGAGATCCAGTCAGAGGAGGAGGTGGTGGTCTACAGCGCCCCCTACCTGGAGAGGATGAACGAAGTATTGTCCCGACACAGCGTACGGTCAGTTTGTTTTCTACTATGAGCAGATTTCCCAAGTTTCAACACAAGTTTAAAAGTGTGATTTTTGTTGTTGTAGAACTATGCAGAACTACCTCACATGGCAGCTCATCATCGACCGAGTGAACAGTCTGAGTCGCAGGTTCAAAGACGCCCGTGCACGATACAGAAAGGTACCAGGTTTCATTTCACATCAGGAGTGGGCCAAAAACGTAGTGTGCAAGTCTGTGACAAAGCAGGTTCCTTTGTCCCCTTTTAATGCCAGTTTTTTACCCATAGAAGAGGCGTGTCTCAGTCAACCATTTTGTATTGTGGGCCATCTCTGTGGGCGGACTCCTCTCATTATAAATGCTCCCAGGAGTCACATCCGAGGGACAGGAGTGCTTGTGCTTGTTGTGCTTGTGCAAAATAAATCTCCTTTTCTACACCTTTTAATATGAGTTCTGCCGACTCACTTTGACGCTCGGGCCAGCTTCCCCACAAAGTCCTCTCTGTTATCATGAACATGTAATATAAGTAATAATAATAATTGTAGCTGTACATACTAGGCCCAAACCAAATAGATAGATATATAAAAGGACATTTAATGACACTTTCCATTCTACTCATTTGTACAACTTCAACTGTGAGTGTCAAAATGTGAAAGAACATCCAGGACATCTAATCTCATGTATGATTTTTAAACCATTTATTTTTGTAATGGTGCGGATAAGTATTTGACTAAAAACACAAGTTCAACTCAATACTGAAAAGTAACCTTTGATACAATGACAGAGGTCAAACGATTCCTGTAGGTCTTCGTCACACACACTGGAGCTGGGATTTTGGCCCATTCTTCCATGCAGATCTTCTCTAGATCTGTGATGTTTTGAGGTTGTTGCTGGGCAACACAAGACTGTTAACTCCCTTCACAGATGTTCTATTAGGTTGAGAATGAGATCTGGAAACTGGCTCGGTTCTTCCAGGACCTTGAAATACTTCATCTGGATGCACTCCTTTGTTGCCCGCGCAGTGTGTTTTGGATCATTGTTGTACTGAAAGACAGCAATGTTTCATCTCTAATGCTGTCACTGATAGAAGAAGCTTTAGATGTTTAATATATTTACACATGGAAAAAAAGTACAAAAAGACAAAATCCCACCCACCCTAGAAGAAGGCTTTTGCTCGTAACTTTACTGTAGCACTTTGGAACACCTATTGTAAATAAATTGTTTCTCATATACACTGTATAATTTCAATGTTAGAAAATGTAATCAAGCAATAAGTTGTTATTTGAGACAAAATGAAACCAAACGACTGTGAAACACATGCAGAGAGACTGTACCTTATCACAAGAATCAAAACTAGTGAATGACCTACAGTATATGCGTCGAAATAATACCTATCTATTATAAGCATGACTTTCCATGTGCTCTTCAATGCATCTGCTGGCCTTGTCCCAGTAGTATACGGTTTACATGGTTACATGCAGCTTAAACAGTGTGAAAATTCAATCCAGTTAAACCAAACACACTGGTTTTTTGCGCCTAAATTACATTAATAATTTTGAATCAAATTAAACCGGACTATAGTTATATCGATTGATCCGGGTTTTCACTTTCACCATTTAATCATATTCGACAACAGTGCCGATTGCCATTAGTTTTGCATCATCTTCATTCCAGACTCTTTATGGGACGACGGTGGAGGATGCCTGGTGGCGTGAGTGCGTCCGCTACATCCAGAGCAGCATGGAGAACGCCGTCGGGGCTTTGTACGTGAGAGAAACCTTTGCCGGGGAGAGCAAAAGGATGGTGAGTCCAGGGACGTTTTTTAAGGCCGTCTTGCAATGCTGCTCTACCGTTTACAATGAATATGCTTGTAGGTTAGCGATCTCATTGTTAAAATCCAACAAGCGTATGTGGAGACGCTGGAGGAGCTGAGCTGGATGGACACGCAGTCGAAAGAAAAGGCACGAGAAAAGGTAAAGCCGTGTTTTTCTATTCAGCCAGTAATCTCACACGGTCCAGAGAGCGGCTTGTGGAGAGGATTAGGAACGAGAAAAAGTAAATGTGCAACTCATGTCATATATTTTGGGGATAAATCCACCAGATTGGGGGGATTTTGGACATGCACAGTGCAGAGATAGAGGATTTATATTGGCAGTATAAGTATTTAGTATTAGATCTTGGAGACTGTAAGTACTTTTCTATTGAAAGTAAGTAATATGATTGTTTAATTTTAAAAATCTATAGAACTAAAGTACATGGATAAACAATGTACATAAGTTTTTAATTTCTAGTAATGCTTCCAAAACTAAAAGCTACCATATTGACTGAGTTCTAATGTTAAGACTTACAATAATGACAGTGCATTCAAGAAAGTACCACGAGAACATTGGGAGAAGAAATTAAATGGACCAAAAATTACACCTGGACCAGAGGAGCACGCTTTGGGACTAAACTGGCCACGGGTCATCTTACTTTTATTGGTTGAGGAAAGTGCATTGAAGCACACAGCACATAACAATGGGACAAAAAACGGACTGGATCAAGGATTTCACCTGGACCAGGGGGACTAAACTGGGTTCAAACCAGGACTGGGCTCTGCAAATGTTACTCATTTAAAAACAAACAAATGCCGTGGAAATGATGGTCCATTTAAACCATTTTAGAGTTCCTTGCTCTAACAACTCTCTAACAAGATTTCTAATTCTCAATCACAGCTTTTGAACTTCAAAGGGTTATCAATGGAAGATAGCGTGTAATGGTCAATTTTCTGATGTTACAAAGCTCTTTCTGTGGAAAGAAACAAATAAATATCGTTTATGAAATTTATTTTGTGTCTCACTCTTATATTTTTCCAGGCAATGTCCATAAAGGAACACATCGGCTACCCAGACCACATTCTAGAGGAAGACAACCAGAAACTTGACCAGGAATACAGCCATGTAAATGCCACACATCCCAGATCAAATTAATTTAACAACATTAATAATGTAACGTAATTGTGATTGCAGTTAAACTTCAGCGTGGAGCATTACTTTGAAAACATCCTGGAAAACCTTCACTCCGAGGCCCACAAGAGTCTGAAGAAACTCCGCGAGCCAGTGGACCCTAATCTGTAAGAAAAAGTTTAGTGTAATCTTTTTTGTTCAAACTTTTTCTAAATGTGTATGTCTAATAAGGACAATAAACAGGATACAAACACAGCAATACAAAAGTTTAAACAGGTCTACAGTATGAGTGGATTCATTGAACCGTGTAATGGGGATTGATATGATGCCATGGCTTTCTCTTCCATTCACTTTCATTCTTGTTATGATCCTAAAACAAAAATCCATGTAACTTGTTCCTGGCTCTCAAAACAGTTTAATCAATAACCTTTGTGTGCATACATTTTTTGGCCTCTGTTACAACTTTTGATCATCTTATTTGGACATGAATTTAAACAAAGACAGACTAACCTCACTCAGCCAATCAGCTCTCAGCCCAAAACTTCAAATAGTGACTCAGGACTCTTTCTTAAGAAAGGACTCTTTCTTTAGTATGCTAAATATATATTTTTTTATAAGATAGCACAGAAGCACAGCATGTTGATTTGCAAACATTTTACTCTTACACTCTTTCTGTTGAGACAAGCTATTATTTTTAACTATTTTTGCTCAGATATATGTTCTCCCACTATATGTTCAGCTGGATCCCAATTTTACAAATATGTAATTTCATGGTCTGTTCAGGTGGATCATTGGTGCTGCTGTGGTCAATGCATTCTACTCTCCAAACAGAAATCAGATTGGTAAGAATTGGCTTTTCCTGTTGTGCTAACTTCACTTTAGGCTCATATTAATGCAGATGTTGGTTTGCAGTATTTCCAGCTGGGATCCTACAGCCTCCGTTCTTCAGTAAGCACCAGCACCAGGCCCTGAACTTTGGAGGCATCGGAATGGTGATCGGACACGAGATCACGCATGGCTTTGATGACAATGGTGACACAATAATATATTATAATTACCTTTTATGAGACGCAACTTTCAATCTAAGAGGCATATTATGGAAAACCAACAACAGACCTGATGTTGTTTTTAAATCACCTCTGCCTGATACCACCCCAGGCATCAGTCATGGCTACAGCTGTAAAGCATGGATGACGTGCAGCGCTGCACATCATCTATGCGAGCAACGGCACACACCAGGTCTGCTTGGTTTACCTTGGGCAGTTGAGAACCCTGGATTGTGTATTCACTGCTCCAAGTTCATTGGCCAAGAGTCTTCGTTGCAGGCTAGCGACCAAGCTAGCGCGACATGGTATGCCCTCAGATGGAGAATCCTGAATCCTCTACAGCAGCACACCAGCCCGGCCCAGCTGAGCCAGAGTTGGAGCTCTATGCTGGACCCTTTGAACCCTCTCAAAGAGGGAATGCTCCTCTTGCATTATTAGGACAATGGATCTTTCGCTGAGGAGTATTTGGTTTTTGGATGACAAAGATGACTCATCTTAGCTCCTTCGTTACCCGAGGCCAATCCTCTTCGCTTACGTCTCAAGGTATGATGGCGGGGCTGCACAGCCACCACAGTCCCACTAAGCAAGCCGACGTTGAATCAACGTAATTTGAACGTCGTTGTCCGACGTAGAATATAGGTCACTGGTGGGTGCAGAATGAAAGTTTTCTCGACGTCGTTTCCCGACGTCACCTCAACCTCCAAATGTTACGTTGATGGCACGTCAATTCAAGGTTTGAATGTGGTACGGAACCGGTCGGGTCTGACGTCCTATCAACGTCTCAAATGACCAAAATATTGACGTTTATATGACGTTCGTTTTCAGTCGTTCCCACTAAGCAAGCAGATGTCAAAACAACGTAATTCCAACGTCATCTGGACGTTCATTCAAGGTTGTAATGTGGTACAGAACCAGTCGGGTCCGACGTCCTCTCGACGTCTTATATGACCAAAATATTGACGTTTATATGACGTCCATTTACAGTCCTATTGACCTCTGTAGAGTGACTTAATAGTCGAGACATACTTTTTGCAATAGGCAAGGCAAGTTTATTTGTATAGCACAGTCAAAACAAAAGGAAACTCAAAGCACTGAACAAAAGATAGAAACAATCAAACAAGGCATTACAATTATAAATATTGACAGTAAATTAAAAAGATACAAATAAAATCTCTCAAAAAATCTCTCAGTTGAAGCAGAAACAGAAGTGTTTTAAACCTGGATTTTAACATTGTCAAAGAAGAAGCCTGTCTCACATTTCCAGGAAGACCGTTCCAGATTTTAGCCTTGTGAATCTGAAATGCAGCTATATCATGTTTAGTTCTGACTCTGGGCAATAAACGATAAACACAGCATTCAAAAATCATTAGAACAACTGTAGTAGAAGGATATCAGTCATTATTGCAAATGGAGCTGCATTAAAAATCATGTTTCTCTACATCAAAGTACAAGTTAATCCACACAGGACACAGTGTTATGAACACTACTGTACTGAACAGTTCATGCCAAAGTAAAAAAAACATGATTGTAGCGCCTATGTTTGGATCAGTATTAAAACAGGCACAAGCTACACTCTAGGTTCCCCAGATGTAAAAACACAATCTGAAAGGCAGAAGAATGCATTTATTGAATGTTGATGTTCCAACATGTGTCCTCTCTTGGTCTTCAGTCTCATAAGGTCCAAGCACAGCACCTGAAAATGTGGAACATGTTTAGTTTCAACATAATGTGGCAAAGTGATATAACAACACATAACTTTCTATTAATGCCTCAAACCACTCGATCCATCACCATGTGATACAAACCTTGGCACTGCACTAGCTCGAGACACTGGAAGACACTCCGTCTGAGAAACTTGGGATAAGGCTTTGGTCATTGGAGTAATTCCATGTAAAAAAACAATTGCAAATGTGCATTTGTTTTGCACATGGACACAAATGAGCCCTGAAAGCTACTTACCCTGTATTACTCTACACATGTCGCATTTCCGAGCGGGCATTTTCCCCTTGTTGCTCTTTTCCCTCATCATGAGTGAGTTGCAGAACAATCTGAGAAAAAGATAGATGTTTTCAAAGAGAATACACCAAATAATGGTTTATTCTAAAAACAACATATTAATACAGAACAACAATCAATGTGTGAGAGTGTGATTCTTACCCTTGAACACCTTCAACACAGTCTGACACCTGTAAGACTCAAACACACATGACACATTAGGAATACACATAGAACATTAGTTATTGCAACAATCATGAAATTATACTCTATGGATTTCACAAAAAATTGACTGCATTAGCAAATGGTAAATGTATTTTAATTATCATATGGCTGGTTTTAATGTTTATAAGAAAAAGTAAGAAATTGAATAGAGTTGCAAGCGCTAGTTAGCTTGCTACCAGCAGATGAATGGATATTTAATAATATTTGCAGCTAACAATAACAAAAATAACGACTGTAGTGGCTCATTTGAACAGCCACAGTGAGAAGAAGTGAAAGTCTCTGACATTGAAGACCTGGGAAGACATTAAATCCATTTATTAAACAAAGCAATACATGAACATTAAACTCTCTTTCTGCAGCAGGTAACATCTGTGTGCTCCTATGGTCCCACATGGTCCCACACCTGAACTCAACTCCAACTGATGACATCACAGGTGTCTAAATGATGGGAGTGTCCCAAATAGTAAAGCTGATCTCCCTGTTTTTAAACTTAGTTTACTAAGTACTGTTGTCTTTTTGCAGTTTATAAACCATTGTGAAATATACAGTAACTTTACATTTTAGAATTGAATTATTATTTTAAAACTCAAGAATCTTAACCTTTTTTAACACATAGTTTGTTGGACAGTCTAACCTAAGAATTCTAATGTGTTAAAAATAGTTTGAAATATGAAAAACAATATCATATTTTAAACTTTTACTTAAAAACAAAAAATCATAGGAAAAAGATAACAGATAAGTAATTCCAGATTAAAAGAAGCCGTGCAGATTTGTACATTAGAATAAAAAATATTCAAAAGCAGCTGAGAACAGGTGGGTCTTTAACCTGGATGTAAACAAACTGAGTGTTTCAGCTGATCTGAGGCTTTCTGGGAGTTTGTTCCAGACATGTGGAGCATAGAAGCTGAATGCAGCTTCTCCGTGTCTGGTTCTGACTCTGGACTCGGATCCAGATGACATGAGGGGTTCTGGTTGGTTCATAAGTTATGAACAAGGCACTCAAACAACACTTTTGCACATGTTCGTTAAGGCACAGCAAACAGTGACAATCTTATCTAAAGGCATTAGGTTTTCACCCTCACATTTGAGAAGCATATGCACAGGTACAGTTGAATGTAAGAATTTGAATTTGTTGCGCACAACACCAATCACCCTCTCAACGTGAATTCTGAGATGGAAGGTCTAATCTGAGGCGCATTACAGTCAATAGGACAAGCTGGAAGGGTGAGAGCTTCCTCATCCTTCCTTGAGGCAGCTGCTGGGCCGGCGATGGGGGCTGCTGGGCTTGGGCTGGCGATGGAGGCTGCTGGGCTTGGGCTGGCGATGGAGGCTGCTGGGCTTGGGCTGGGAGTGATGACTGCTCCAGATGCTGGGTACTGCGCTTTACTTGCCGCTGATATCGCGCTCCATCTGTTTCTTTAACATTATTGTGGCCTAACCGCAAGGATGGTGTCCAGTCAGGGTGATTCTCCAACATCTCATATGATGGTTTACCTAGAACAGAATAATGTATGTAGTCAATGCTTTAAACTGGCAACAAGGTAGCATAATGTCATGAACAGAATCTCAACTATTTTTAGCAATCTCATATAATGGTTTACTTACATCAGATTAATAAGATTATTAAACAATCTGGAATCTAAAGAAATATTAAACAAGAAGGTAACGCTATTCATGGTTTCATAAAAGGGCTCAGGGGGTAGTGGAAACACAAGACAAAAAAAAAGTTTGGGCACCACTGGTTTAGAGAACATAAGAGACAGAGACAAACGCACTTTGAGTGCCCATATTCCACCAACAAGGTAGGATAATGAGCAGAAACTTAAATATTCTTAGTTAACATTAATGGTTGGCCATTAAGCATTTTCATAGAGGCAACAGTTTGTTAGATAGTTAGCTAGGCAGCTAACTTAAGATGCACTTCAGGGTTTGCAACATTAACAGCTAGGTAACCTACACTTCTTAACTTTAAAAAAACAACATAAAGACATTTTAGGACGTACCCGAGTGAAAATGCAGAGAACACACTCTCATCGACTGGGGGTGAGATCGAAAGTAAGGTCCTTTCTTCTTATTGCAGCCAACCAAGCCATCCGGCGTCTCTTCGTCAGGTCAGACACTTGCGCTCCCTGATGTTGTATCCATTTTGGTGGCCTAAAAAATTGTAAACCGTTGTTCCTACGTTTTCCTTTCTTATTGTGTGAGGTACTGGAGCAGTTTTTCACACAGCAATGAGCTCCAGGCATGGTAAAACAGAAATAGCGACGACCTCCTTTGCTACCGAGTTAACAACAAGTGTTTGCCGCTGGGATCCTACCAACATGGCGGAGACGGGGAGGGGCTCTGTGCTATGACGTCAGCTCCTCACTCTCATTTAGATTCATGCACTGGCAATTCAAAATACAGATAATATACAAAATATACTTAACAAAATCCACGTATACGTGAGAAAACAACTTACTTTCTGTCTCCAACTCTTTTCAATGTGGAAATGATACATCTATATCTAAAAACTGTGCAGACTGTGTACTTACTAGAGAGGGTGATTCCAAGTAGCTAAATAAAGCAGGGCAGCGACAGAGGTACAGATTCAACGTCATATCAACGTCTGGAAAGGCATTACTTTACGTCCAGATTCACACCTTACGTCGTTTAGACGTGGAAAACAGGTCCTCGACCGAGCGACTCACGTGTCAGGCTGTAAAGCCTAAGTTATACTCGCGCGGCGCATAAGTGTGCGTCGGTTGTTTAGGGTGTTATGTATTATTTTGTCACAGTAGTCTGGATAAATGCCTGGCCGTGGTGTAGCGGTTGCGTAATGAGACTTCAGTCCCAACGACGCAGGTTCAAATCCCCGTCGGAAAACTTTTGACTTTTTACTTTTTAGCGAACAATTTTTCTGTTTGGTTAAAAACGAATAAACACTCAACATAAGATTATGTAGTGGCTAATAATAAAACTTGTGAACCCATGCATTTGCATACAATCTCAAGTGCTCACCCCTTATTTGCAAACTTGAGATTGTTAGCACAACAAATGCATACATTCACAAGTTTTATTATTAGCCACTACGTAATCCTATGTTGAGTGTTTATTAGTCTTTAACCAAACAGAAAAAAATTGTTCGTTAAAAATCAAAACAAATATGTAAAGATAATAAATACACACACGTGGGCTCGAACTCACGTAACCAAGGCTGCACACATTTGCTTAACCACTACACTACCGTCAGGTACACTGAGATTGCTTCACAGCCTATATATTGTATTGCTAGATCAAGACGTACTGCGTCGGTCGGCCGATGACCTGTTTTCGACGTCTAAGGGAGGTCGGGATTGAACGTCATATCCACGTATATGGGAGGTCATTGTTTTACGTCCAGATGCGCACCTTGCACAGACGTCGTTTGGACGTAAATAAAAGGTCACGACCGACCGACGCGATATTGACGTGATCTGGAGGTTGAGTGGACGTCGGATGTTTAGTGGGGTGCTGACTTGCATGACATGTGTAAACGTGCTGCGGACAGGGTTAGACTGGACAGGGTTAGACTGGACATCCTGTGGCCTCCAGGAGCTCCCCACTCCCGCTATGAGGAGATGAAATTACCCCAAGATAAATAGGCCGCGCCGCAGCTTCTCCTGGTATTTCCAGAGCTTCTCAATAAAAAATCAGCCTCTTAGAAAGACCAACCCTACTCCGATAAGAGCCTCATTTTGGGTGCTTCTTCTTTGGACTTTGTCAGTAGGGAAAAGCACGGCATGGCTTGTTTGCTTCAGGCTGAGCACACGGTGGCGGACCACCGTCACTCTAAGCTCTTGGCCACGTCCACCAGGCCACCCACTCATCCCTCAAAAGATGATGTCTTTTGACTGCTTACCAAGCGGAGCTCTTAGAGGACATGTCCACCGTCCCTGACACTGCTGGGACGACATTACCACTGTTTCTGACCTATGCTACATGTTCAACGTTGTGCTTTTCAGACTGTGGGGAGATGTATGGGCAGCATGTTGTTGTTACAAGAGAGGACAAGGTAGTTAAACTTGACCAATATGTCTGAAAAAGACATCTGCTCAATCGGGTGTTTGTTGTCAACACAATCAAGATTGTATTACAGTCCAGCCAGAACATGGCATTTCTAGGAGTAGACGCGCTCTCCAACGAGTGGCTTCAGGAGCCACTCACTGATTCATCCCACTCTCCTCAGAGTGAGAGAATCTCTGAGGCTGGTATTGATAGCCCTGCAGTGGCCGATCATGCCATGGCTGGTAGACGTGCAACAGTTGCTATGCAGGCACTCCTGGACTCTCCTGTTACACATGGATCTTCTGACCAATGGACAGCTGTTTAATCCTCGCCATGAGAGACTTGCACTACGGGCCTGGCCCCTGAGTGATTGAGCCACTCTGTGGCTGGTCTACCTCTGAAAGTACTCAATACTATTCAGAGCGCCAGGGCCTCATCCACAAAGTCTTTATATGGTCTTTTATAGGTGGGACGCAGAGGGTGACAGGGGGTGTTCGCTTTCAAATGTCCCCTGAATGTCATTATGTCATTCCTGCAGGACCTTATTGAAAAGTAAAAGGTTTTCTCAAAGTTTATGTGGCTGCTCTTTCGGCATGTCATTATGGCTTTGATGGCAAAACTGTGGGTTTGAAATCTGTTTTATGAAGAGAGCTAGAAGATTGCTGATTGTGTCTATAACTATGTCTCCATCACGGGATCTGGCTGTGGTTCTACAGGTTCTTTCTGTCCATTCCTTTGAACCATTGGAGAACTTGAGGACGTTGTCACTGAAGACCTTTCGACTGGTTGCTTTGGGCACAGCAAAAATAATCAGTGATATTCATGCTTTATGCCTTTCGTTCCCCACTCAGCACTTCTGTTGAGCAGCAAGATTCACACAGGTCGAGTTTAGTCCGAGCTCTCAAGGCTTATGTTGAAAGAACCTGGTCTCCTCGACAGACGGACCACCTTATTGTGTCTTGGGCAAAACTCCACAGAGGAAACCTGTTTCAAACAGAGTCTTTCTCACTGGGTTGTGGAGGCCATATCATTGGCTTAATCCACTGTTCCACTCATTATGGGGCGTGTTATTCAATCAAATGATTCTGTTTTCTCACGTCACATTAATCATGAGCTGTTTCTGTGTTCGGCTGGATCAGAACGCTGCGCACACATTCATAAATACCTCACTCTGGCGTACAAACACTTTTTTTGATGCATTGTAGGCCCATTTCAAAGCATAATTGTTAAATGAGGCCCATTGTGTTTTCTGTTTGGAGCGATCTGATCTGTTACACACACATTTTTACATATTACAATAATCATAATTTTTTCTGCAGGTCGTAATTTTGATAAAGACGGAAACATGCTGAACTGGTGGAGTAACTACTCAGCGGAGCAGTTCAAGGACCAGTCTCAGTGCATGGTGCAACAGTACGGAAACTTCAACTGGAAACTCGCCGGCGGACAGAATGTGAGTTTATAATTCCAGTTTTTGAAGAGCACAAACCAAACAAATGTCTAATCTAATGTAATACAGATTGTGATTAACAAAAATTGTTTGTTTATTCTTTTCTTCATAACACCAAGAATTGATCTTCTTTGTTATCTAATCTAATCTATCTATCTAATTTGCTTTGGCATAAGATAGACAGAGAAAACGGATAAATAGATGTACTTTATTAACCCTGAAGGAAATTAAGATTTAAGCCCACACAAGAGAGGATTACATGATTTAAAACTGCAAGCAAAAGTTGTGATTTCGGCTACATCCTCCACCGAGGCCAGCTTCAGCCCCACCACAGATTATTATTCTTTGTACTGGTGTTGCTCTTGTTCCCCATTTGATGCATATGGTTTCGAAAAGTAGGAAAATATTCAAGATGTACAAGATCTGAACACATTGGATATGACAATGTTCATATTCCAATGTTGCCAAATGCTCTCAACACAATATGACAAAACTATAATTATAGGACAATGAAAGGGACAATGATATCTGGAAAATTAGACACAAAAAATCCTGCTTCAATTATATGTCATATATTTCTTAAACAAATTTCACTAAAATAAATTGACAATTTTACAGACCGAAGACAATGGATTTTGGCAACAACAACAAAAATTCTATAAATATAAATTTTATAGGACATTTTTGTTGTTTCTGCTTTTGACAAACTTGCGTCTTACTTTCACCACAAACTCGTAATGTTTCAGCTTTGGTTCTTCTTTCGAACCGTCTTCATTCCAAAAAAATGTTTATTGCATCTATTTTAGGCCTCCATTTCATTCCATACATATTGTTTTGTATAAATGGTTTTCAATTACGTTTTTGCAGGTTAGTGGCATCAGCACTTTAGGAGAAAACATTGCAGATAACGGAGGAGTGCGTCAGGCCTATAAGGTTTGACATTTGCCATAAAACTCCATTAGAAACCTCTTTATTGGTTCGGCAGATTGAGTCATTAGCAGTATCTTTTTCATTGTTTGTTACAGGCCTATCTGAAGTGGGTTGAGAAGGAGGGAGAGGAACCACGGCTGCCCGGTTTAGACATGGACCACAAGCAGCTTTTCTTTCTCAATTTTGCTCAAGTGAGTTTCCCTCTTACATAAAACCAAACATCGCTGAAAAAGGGACATATACTAAATGTCCAATCATCTGGTTTGAGGTTTTAACCATCTTGTAACATTGTCCCCTCATCAAATAAAAAGTGCGTTGTTTGAAGCTCTATTTGTTTGTTCATGGCCCAAAATCACAACCGCCGTTAGCGTCATAGTTGATGTGAACAGTAGATAAAAAATAAATAAAAAAAGTTTATCATAGGAGTGAAAGAAATGGATAAATCTTCCAGAGCTTAGACCAGAGACGACCAAAGTCCGGCCCGCAGGCTCATTGTGGCCCCTCATGTTATGTTTTGTCTGTGGCCCTCAGCCTTTGCTAACCCCCAATTTCAGAGAGAAAGCAAAGGCGACTATGGGTCCACTTCAGCGACCAGCTCCGCAGATAACTGGGCGACACTTGACTTGCTCCCAGAGTTTCAGCCTTCACTTTTCTAGTATCCTGTTAAAGAGTTGAAATATCATAGACAGCGACATACGGCACCGGGATCACTTGTGGCTTTCTTACAACTTTATTTTGAAATGCCGCTCCCTGTTCCTGCATTTTCGTGTTTCTTTTTAGCCGCTGTGGATTTTTTGAGTTTGCCAATCGTGCAGCCATTTTTTTTCAGCGCAGGACCGGCTTGGTCACAGACGCGCACCACTCCAGCAGTTTCAGAACACTGCACAATCTGTGCTGCTTTTCCTGAGGAGCTCATGGGCTCTGCATGAGCGAAAGAGATTGTTCCGAATATATGCTGAAGATGATTGTCATCCAGCCAACTTCCGCTCCAACATTAGACATCTTAATGTACAGCTCAGTCTCTTTGGAATCCAGTTGACTTTGTTTTTCTTATAGACAAAATTCTCTGCCTAAATGCAGCTTGTGGACAATCAATATGGAAATGATGTCATACCTCATTTTAAAGCCCAGTCGGAGTTTCATATACTCTTGACACGTCTGGTGAACGAAAGAGTCTCTGACTAAAAGGTTTGGACACCTCTCAGAGGGTTTAAGGACTCTTGCCTGAATGAGAGTAATTAAGAATTATTTAAGAATTTAATAATCTTTCATCTTAAATCACACAAATGAAATAATAACGTTTAATCATAAATGCAGATTTAATTTTCTCATTTAATTTTCCATTTTGTAATGCATAGGCAAGGCAAGGCAAGTTTATTTATATAGCACAATTCATACACAAGGCAACTCAAAGTGCTGAACAAAACAAGAAAGCATTAAAATCATAAATAATCACAGAACATTAAAACAAAATTTAAAAAAAAAGATAAAAATATAAAATCCCTCAGTTGTATGCACAGTTAAACAGAACTGTCTTTAACCTGGTTTTAAACATTGTCAGAGAGGAGGCCTGTCTCACATCTTCAGGAAGACTGTTCCAGATTTTAGCAGCATGAATCTGAAAAGCAGCGTCCCCATGTTTAGTTCTGACTCTGGACACTAACAGGAGTCCAGTCCCTGTGCTCCTCAGAGTCCGGGCTGGTTCATATGGGACTAACATGTCACTAATATATTTTGGTGCGAGGCCATGGAGAGATTTGTACACAAGCAGAGCTGTTTTAAAGTCTATTCTCTGAGCCACAGGAAGCCAGTGCAAAGACCTGAGGACTGGACTAATGTGGTCGTACTTCCTGGTTCTAGTCAGGACTCGAGCTGCTGCATTTTGAAAGTACTGCAGCTGTTTTACAGCCATATCAGAATCAGAATAATTTTTTTTTATTTTTTTTTATTTTATTTTTTTTTTCTTTATTTGATTTTCAAGGTAACATACATTCAACAAACAAACAAACAAGAATATGTGTAGAGACACATATTTTAAGGAATAGAGCAAATTTTGCGCGTGTGAGGGTGTGTGTGTGTGGCGTGCGTGTGTGTGCGGAACAGTACATTGTGCAAGCAACATTATTATTAATTTATGAACTATAAAAGAACAAAAAAAGAAAAATAATGGACAGACAATAAGCATAACACTGGATAAGTTTTAACCTATGGCTAGAGAAGACATGGGATATATTGGAGCTACATAAAGAAAGAAATGGTGCGGTAGTAAATGTATAATGAGACAAACAGTAATACAAGTTATAAGAATAAATAGAATAATAAAAATAAAACAAATAATAATATTAATAAAAAAATAAAAATAAAAAAAAAAAAAATAGAAAATGGTCCAACCGATATACCCAGACGCAAGCATATGTTTGTACCCATGGTTGAAGTGTTTAACCTATAAGGATTGTTGAAGGCAGTAATAGTGGCAGAAGGAGAGGGAAAAAAAAAAAAAAAAAAAAAAAAATACAAATAAAATAAAGTCTGCATACAGATATATACCCATAAATACATACATATATGTACCCACGGATATACACACGCACCTATACATTTATATACACACAAAAAAAAAAATTCATATATGTGGATTACATATATGAAATATAGAGATTTTATTATATAGGGTTATCCCAAATTATTTACGCACACCATATTTAGAGATACAATCCCCTTCCACTTTCCCTATGTCTGATCCCTCCATCTCCCACCGTGCCTTAATGTGTAGTGCATTAAAAACATTTGTGGAATGTGGTGCATTAAAAAAAAACTCAGACATACTTGGTAAGAGATCGAGGGGGGATGCTTTTTTTGTTTTTTAATTTTCTTTTCTCTTTCCTTTCCCTTTTCCTTCTTCCCCCTTTCCTACCCTTCCCCTTCTCCTTCCCTCCTTTTCTTTCCTCCATCCCTTTCCACTCCTTATCTATCTAGCTTACTTTATATATATGTATATATATATATATATACACACAATACACATATATACATATACATACACACATACATATATATACACACACATGCATAGGTGTACGTACATATAAAAGAGATTTTTCTTTTTTGTTTCCTTTTTCCTTTCCTTTCCCTCTCCCTCCTTTTCCTCTCTTCCTTCCTTTCCTTCCCCTCTTTTTCTTTCCTCCCCTTTTTTTTTTTCCTACTAAAATTATAGTGAAAATAGTATAAAAAAAAAAAAAAAAAATAAAGGACAATCCTATATAATATTAGTGGTGTTTATGAGGGAAATTGATTATAGGGAGAATAAATGCGTACAAAAAATAAAATAAAAAATAGAAATAAAAAAAATATATATATAATTATAATACTGCCACTGCCACTGCCATCAAGAAGAGAAAAATGTATACAAGAATAATGATAATAATTATAATGAAAATAATCATAATAATAATAATAACAGTAACCATAATAATAGTAATAAATAATAGTCCAGTTGCGACTTATATATTATAGTACAGGAGGTAAAGAAAAAGGCAAATAAATTAATGATCATAAGTAAGGAGGAGAAAGAAGCAAAACAAAACACATCTAAGTTGATTTCTGGGTAGGAGGAGGTATTGTGGTATTGTCAAGATCATAGCATTATGAGTGTATTGATGTGATGAGGGACGACCAGACGGAGGGTTCTATTGCGGATTGGTTGGAATGGTGCAGGGAGTTTTTTGTTGAGATGTTTTGACTCATTAGATTTTTCCATAATGCAATGTTTATGTTTGACCTTGATTTCCAGTTCATGAGGATTGTTTTCTTGGCGATGGTTAGGGCCACTAGCAGCATATTTGTGTCTGAGTGAGTGTTTATTTGAGACAGGTCGCCGAGCAAACAGAGGGAGGGGGACATTGGAATATGGCAACCAATAAGTGAAGAAAGAATTAATGTGACCTTTTCCCAAAATTGTGAGGTGGGTGGACAATGCCAGAAGGCGTGGATATAGGTGTCTGGTGTGTTCTGAGTGCAGTTAGTGCAGGTGTCTGATGTGAATCCCATTTTGAACATTCTGTGCCCCGTGTAGTGAGTTCTGTGCAAGACTTTGTATTGTATGAGTTGTAGGTCTGTGTTTATCAGAATAATTTTTTATTGCAGCGTAAGTAGCAGTAAGTCACAGACTTGGAAATTGTTTTGGCTCAGTGCAACAGTCAGAAAGAGAGGTAAAGAATAGAGAAGTCACAATAAAAAATAAAAAGTAATATCCACCACATTCTAAAACATGAAAAAAAAACAATCTCAATGTCATGTTGTTGTACCAGCAGATAATATTTCTGCTTTGGTTTGTGTTTGATTCAATGATACATGTATCATCTGTGGAAGTACTACTAAAGCACTAAAGATTTCATACAAAATGGCCGGTATTGATGAGACTACTTAAAAACTTTACTTCAGCCATTGTCCCTGAAGTGGTGGAGGTCAGAGGATGTTCAGAGACATTCAGACAAGGTGACTTTACAAGACTCTGTCCAGGTTCCAGCTTCCAAAGAGCCTCTCGGTGCCAGAGAACGGACTGATGTTAGGAAACTAAATCACACTGATTGGATTGCATTAAGCATTACATTATTTGAGTCTGATCCAAAAATTATAGGAACATTACCAAGAAGTCCATTTACTTTTGCTGACGTGACCATAGCTCTTTGGTTTTACCGTCCATGGTTCTGGATCTGTGTCCCGCTGTAAAGCTCTTGGACAATAAATCAAACTGAACTTTGTGGCTCGGATCACCAATTAGAGTAATAGGCACACCCCCTCAGCTCTAAATCACAGTTGCCTCATAACAAAAACGTGTAAGAGTTTTTAGCCATGTTCTAATAGACTTTTGTTCTCGATTACACTGTAGGCTGCTTTGATTCATGTTTGATTGCCCCTGATTTCTTTGCAGGTGTGGTGTGGGGCGTATCGGCCAGAGTACGCGAGTCAATCCATCAAAACAGACTCCCACAGTCCTTTGGAATACAGGTAACTTCACATGTGGGAAAGGTTGGCGTGTTGTTTGAACCCGCTTCAGATTTTTACCATGGAAGATGTCAAAGTAAATGTATGTATGTAAGTTTTTTTCTGTGTATGGCGTCAGGAGCTGATTGTGCGTTTATAACCACCAACCCCCGACCCGATAAAACAATTGGGTTCCATCAGTCGGCAAAAAGACTTGATCGCAGGGCGGGTTAAATGCCAAGACGTTTTGACACACCAGCCCGTGTCACTCAGTCTGTAAGGAAAATACTGACTTGTGACCATACCTGCATGTGAAAGCCAGATCCCGTCAGAACTCTGAAGCTAAGCAGGGTAGGACCTGGTTAGAACTGTGATCTGAGACCTCTGGGAAACTGTCATTGTGTCTTTAAGCAAGACACTTCACCCACATTTCCTGGAATCAGCCTGGTGTGTGTGTGAATGATTGGTGGTGGTGGGAGGGGTCGATGGCACATACTGGGGGCCTCGCTTCTGTCAGTGCGCCCCAGGGCAGCAGTGGCTACAGTTGCAGTTCATCCCCACTGTGTATGGAGTGAATTAATAATGACATGTAAAGCGTCTTTTAGAGTCCAAATAATCGCTATACAAACCCAATGCATTATTATTAAAAGCCGACCTGATGTTCATAAACTGTTTTTCGCTCACTGGGAATGAGGCTTCTAACAGTAATGTATTAACATTCGCTCTAACAATAACACTCTTGGATGTAAACACGGGGCAAGTTCACCTTTGTCAGTGTCGTCCTCGGCTGCTGCTGCGTTGTCTTATGAAAACAGTCACTTTATTACACAACTCCCTCCCTGTTGTTGTTGTGCCAATTCATTAAAGCAATCAGCGCCGTACTCAGTGTTCTTCCTCAGAACATCTCAGGCCGCCGTGTCCTCAAGGCAAAAAATGACAACAATACGTTTAGAAATGATATGCAACATTCATCAGGATTGTAGTATATTAGTGTTCGTATTGTGTATGTTTGTACTGAAAACTCAATAAGCCGCTTTTGTCCTATTATAAGTAATATTTGTATCTCGTTCCCAGGATAAAACATTTTTTATGCTTGTTTCATTGGAAAATAATAATAACAATTAAAAGGTGTATTATTGTACACAATTGTTCTCTCATCAAAAACAGACCTGGAGTTGTCTTTAGCTCCAACCATGCTGACATCAGAGACTTCTGGCTTCAAACGTATTACACTTTGTGGCTATGGCTGTCAAATTAGATCATTTACAACTGCTAGACATAATTTAAGAACAGAATGTATTTTTCCACTTCAGCCACCAGAGAGGAGCAAATTCATTATAACTTTGTCCACAACATTGCTTAACTGTTGAGTGTACTGTCCCTGGCACTTGCTTGAGAATGACCTTCACTGACTGCCGCCTAAATAGCAAACTACATATTTGCAATAAGAAAGAAATCATTTCTATAAATGAAGCCCTGGAAGCTGCAGTTTCTTTATCTGTACAACTTACGGACCATGAGTTCCCCATGTAAAATAAAACACACATAGTATGTTAAAGTATGCATAAAACCACAAGCTGTTATCAGTTTAAACAGAGCACTTTAATGATCGTGGACTTGTAGTGAAGCTGTTGAAGTCGATTGATTTCACAGTGTCAATTGTTTACTGTTTCGCTTGTTTTATTTCTGTACTTTGTCTCGTGCACCCCGGAGGACTTTTGCAAATGTATTCCAATGTGGTTTTACTGCAAATGACAAATAAAATGAATCTGAACCTGAATCTTAAGAGTGAGGAACTAACTACATGGATTGTATCACAAAGTTACATTTTTTTGAATATCTTTCTTTGCACGGCTGCTCTCAAACTGTTTTTGTCTGTTTCCCACCTCAGGGTCCTGGGATCGCTCCAGAACTTCAATGCGTTTTCCGAAGCGTTCCAGTGTCCGCGAGGGAGTCGGATGAATCCGGAACAAAAGTGCAGAGTCTGGTAGAGATTGTACAGATAAAGATAAGTTATTTTCTGCGGCAAATTTCTCAAATGTAAAAACTTACTTTGAAATGCTTCTCAAGTTCATAGAGAAATGTCAAGCAGGTGTTTTGGTGCAGTGCTGTCCCAAGTGTTGGAGCTGATTCAGAAACAAAACTCTGAAAAGAAAAGGTTGTTAAAATAATGCATTTCTCACTTTGAGTAAATATTGGTTGTTATAAAAGAAGATAAGCTATGTCAATATTATTTTTTTTATAGAGTAGAAAAAAAATATGTAAAACTGGAATGATTTTTAATCTTATTATTTTCTCTGTTGTTAGTGATGACATTACACACTATTGGCTCAGGAATTACAAAGAAGCTAACTCTAAACCAAGGCCCCAAACCCACTGTACGCGGAGGCGCTTCTCCTGTGAGCCGCACGTAAACAGCAGCTGCAGCTCTGAGTGAGCAGGAGTCACATTTGACACGTTTATGTCTTTATAAAGCTCGACAGCAGAAATAATCCCAGGCCTCAGTAATTGCAATAGGACAAGCATTTTTTTTCTTAGCATTTCAATGTGTTTCAACGGCTAACGGACCCTTGCGCATTGGCTTCCGTCAACAATAGTATTGATTCTATTTTGTCTGTGTGCGTACATCTGCATGCGTTTCCCTCTCCATAACTCTCCATGGCGATTACTCTCCATGGCGATTACTCTCCATGGCGATTACTCTCCATGGCGATTACTCTCCATGGCGATAACTTTCCATGGCAATAGCTCTCCATGGCGATAAATCTCCATGGTGATAACTCTTCATGGTGATAACTCTCCATGGTGATAACTCTCCATGGTGATAACTCTCCATGGCGATAACTCTCCATGGCGATTACTTTCCATGGCGATAACTCTCCATGGCGATAGCCCATGGCGATAGCGCTCCATGGCGATAATTCTCCATGGCGATAACTCTCCATGGCGATAACTCTCCATGGTGATAGCCCATGGCGATAACGCTCCATGGTGATAGCCCATGGCGATAACGCTCCATGGCGATAACTCTCCATGGCGATAACTCTCCATGGCAATAACTCTTCATGGCGATAACTCTCCATGGCAATAACTCTTCATGGCGATAACTCTCCATGGCGATAACTCTCCATGGTGATATCTCTCCATGGCGATAACTCTGAGGCCTAATGCTATAATTTTAACAGTTACTATAGTTACCAGGAAATCTATTTTAATGCCCTCCACCAAGGCAAGTTTTTATGTAGCACAATTCATACACAAGGCAATTCAAAGTGCTGAACAAAATAAGAAAGCATTAAAATCATAAATAATCACAGAACATTGAAAAGAAAGATAAAAATATAAAATCCCTCAGTTGTATGCACAGCCAAACAGAACTGTCTTTAACCTTGTCTTAAACATTGTCAGCGAGGAGGACTGTCTCCCATCTTCAGGAAGACTGTTCCAGATTTTAGCAGCATGAATCTGAAAAGCTGCCTCCCTATGTTTAGTCCTGACTCTGGGCACTAACAGGAGTCCACCACAATGTAAATCTTCAGGCTCGTGGAATGTTGTGATGTCACATGATCTATTAAGACATATCTGGAAAATATGATTTTTTTTCCCGACCTCCAACACCGGCACAGCACTGCATCTTAAACAGATCACACTGATGTTATTCTGGGTCGACACAGTAAAAGGGACGAAGCTGCCGACTACCTTTTGAGCCTTACACTTCACTCCTTCATTCCACTTTCCGCCACATATCGAACATAACTTTGGAAACGATTGTAAAGCCTGTCGTGAATGAACAGCAGCAGCATTAGTCGCACACGGACGGTTCCTTCGCCTTCCCAGAAATAAGACTGTTATTGGACTGTTAAATCTGCGCAGCTTCAGCCCGTAATTAACGTCCACCAAAAGCTGCAGACACATTTTCTGAGAAGCAAATTTTTCAAACTGGTATAAGCTAATGTAACCTTTATTCGTTTACATGTTTTTTTTTTCTGTTGCCATGAAAAGCACTGTTGCGAAGCTGATACTGTTTCCTTGCCTTATCAGTAGCCGAAAGCTTTTTTTCAGCAAACTGGAGACTGTTATATTGGTTCCAAATGTGGATGATGCATTGATATTTCACTGTTTTATTTTCTTATTTAACTGATGCCTTGTTTTTTTTCCTCATTAATTGTGGTCAGTTCTGAGCCAATAGTGACACTAGTCTGTTTGGCGTGTTCACACCACTGGGCGAAGTGGATTTGGATCACATCAGAGGCAAATTCAACAGTCCTGTATGATCTTTATAGACAGAATGTATTTTATGATTTGAACTGTGTTGACATTTATGCTCAATCTATGTTCGTACCTTCACCTTTAGTCATGATCAAAGACAAGATGTATAAGCGGTCAAAATACATTTTCTCTGTCATACAGTAGGAGCTCAGAGTAAAGCCGTTGTTCCGCCACACTGATTGAAGACATTAGAGGTGCCTCGGGAGGTGGCAGATAAGCAGACGCCTCAAAAACAGACACCATTCCCAAACCAGCATCTTTGTACACAAATAAATACATTAAATAACCTAATTCCTTTTTTGTCATCAATAATACATGTAGATTAGCCCCAACAGAAAACAACCATACTTGTAAGAAAGAGCCCTGTGAGTCACTATTTGATTCTTCATGCCGAGAGCTGATTGGCTGTGAGGGTGGTCTTCTCCTTTTAACTATTTTATCAGAAAAAGCGAAAAATGTGAAATATATTAAATGGATTTCATCACCTTGCGCAGTCATTTGTGGTTTGAAAGTTAGGTACCCCCGCTTTAATTACTCATATTGACATAAGGTTGTTTGTGGATGCTAGTTTGTGAAACATTCCTATCAAAACATTTTATAATCCTTACCAAAAAATTACCAAATTTTGCCTCTCTAAAAAACAGCAACACATTTCGCATTATCCCCCGCTTTTTTCCATCCATGAAATCCCAATATTTTTAGGCTAAATACAACTACTTGTTTATAATTAGAGCCGTAAAAAGCCCAGAGACAGCAGGAAAATGAGGAGCCGACTGATGTTCAATTGATCAGAGCCGCGAGGATGAAAGTCTAGTGAACCCAAACTAATGCCACACGCACACGCACACGCACACACACACGCACACGCGCACACACACACACACACACACAATAATACAAAATGGCACTCGGTTGCATTGTGCCTTTTATGAAGCTGTAATGACAGATGGATCAAAGGGCAGCGCGGAGGTAGAGTCCAATTGTTGTTTTCGGTCACTGGTCTGCAGACTCAAATACCACTGTTTTGTCTCCGTCCGAACGAATGTGCGTTTGGACAAAGGAGAACTATACAGACATGTGGTCAAATGAAACAGCAAATGTTTTTTTTATTCCCAATTATTCAAATACAATGTGTGTGTCTCTGTCTGTGAGCTTTTCAGGAGTCTTTTATGTAACTTTATAACATTGTTTTATAGCTCAATATTAAGATTTTGATTTTGTTAAGTTTATAATCATGAGCCTCGGGTGTCAAGGATTATCACGAGCAGACAAAACTTCATAGCAGTATTGAAACTACTCATTTGAAGAGTGTGTTTATAAAGCGAGAGTGAAAACCAGGTAACTCTCCGAAGTCCGATTTCATTCAACTGATCAAAACTCTAATAACCCTGTGAAAAAATCAGTGCAGGAGAACTGAATCAAACCATTTCTACTCTGTTTACGCTAGCACTATTTAGACCAGGCCAGCAGATAGAAAAATCTCAAAGGTAATGTGAACTCATATAGACATTTCCCAGTGAAGTTGGGTTTTTAGCCGTATCACCTACAGCCATCACCAGACTTTATATTTCCTTTGTAAAATGAAAAGTGAGTGCGGTCGCCTTCAGCTCTCTGGTGTAAAGGGCATGTCACAACAACACACAAAAACAAAAGCGATATTTGGAAATGAGATCCTTAGGGTTTACTGCGATTGGACAGAAAGGAGCTACTTCCAGAGAAACGGAAAGAACACATTTGGACAATAAGTGTTTTTGTCTGATATAAGACACCTGAGACTCATAATATACATTTTAGTACATTTTTCTCAATATTGATTTGAAAAAAAAATAAAAAAAAATATATATATATATATATATATATATATATATATATATAAAATTCAGTTCAGTCCTATCGCAACGTCAATATGGTCACTTCAAAGGCTCTGCAGGCTCCGCTCAGACCGCCAATTAAGTTGAACTGTGGCGAAATTTTTGTTCCTGCTAAAATACCGCTAATTTTATCGATTCAGAAAAAGAACATGTAACTCCGCCCCTTCTGTCTTAAAGCTCAGGTCTGTCGCTTTCATGAGATCTACATAATCCTCCAACTTCCCAAAATATGAGCGTTGGAGATTCTCTACATTCTCATAAAAAAACGCTGGTGACAAAGGGTTAATTTAGGTTTTCTTTTCAAATCCAAGCTCCAGTCGTTCCGCGCTGTCACTCTTCCTTATACAGCTACCCGTTTCCCAGATAATGTTTGTGTTTTTTTCCCTGTCTCCTTTGCGTAAAACCCGACACTGGAACACAAATGGTTACAGTATCTTTTGAATGCATGAGCCTGGCGTGGTGGGGCTATCTCGCTCCTGCAGGTGGTCTCACGGTATCTGGGGACTGGATGCGATCACAAAGAGCTCTTTCAGTGAAATGTCATAGGCGTAGTGGGGTCCCATTATAAAAACATCAAAGCTCTTGGGCAGGTTCTGCAGGACGACATGCAGCCGCTGAACTGACAAGAGCTGATGCTGCATTCGGCTCCGATTGAAGAGAAAAGATCATTTTAAGTTGACCCTATTGATTAAGACAGTGTTGTGAATCTCATAACTGTGGGCGGAGCTGTTTTGATATTTTCTCTTGTTAATCTATGATATATTTTATTCTATCTTCAGCAAAATGCAAGTTTTTTTAATAGCACAGTTTAGACAAAGGCAACTGCTCAACAAAACAAGATCACACGGTCCTATACACGGTGCATTAAGAATAGAATAGAATAAAAATAAAAATTAAAAATACAATTCTTCAATTGTATGAGATTAAGATTAAGAGATTAAGAGATCCTTTATTCGTCCCACTGCGGGGAAATTTCAGTGTTGCATCACAAGTTACAGAACAGTAGGAAAGAGGAGCACACAACACAAGATAAGTGAACCTTAGCTTTACTAATTATAATATAACAACATCTCTAACTCTAGCATCAAAGGACAATAAAATCTCAAAAATTTCACGGTTTAAGAATTTAGTTTTTAACCTGAATTTCAACATTGCAGCTAAAGTTTGAAAATTCAGAAAAGTAATATATATATTATAGTAATAAATATATAGTTCTAAAAGTTACCAACAGTAGCACTTTCGGTCACAGCCGCAGAGTGGTTGCTTCCTATTCGTTTATATAAATGCCGGTTCGGTTTGGGTCGGAAAAAAATTCTCTGATATTCTGAATGCTTTATTAGCATTTTTCAAAGACAAATTAGCATTCCTCCAGTGGATTTACACTTGATCTGCTCTGGTCTGCTCTGGTCTGGATCAGTGTAAAACCATGAACACTGAACGGCAGTAAAAATTACAATTAGAAAAAATTAAAAACACTAACTTTTTCAGAGCTACTTCGGACGTGCAGCCGTTTCCAGCGCATTCGAAAGTACGTTTAGTCTAAGGCCAGAACTGAACACAAATAATAACTTTTTTTTAATTTAAAGTCTGGATATTTTCTCCCTGGTAAATCATTGTTATTGAAATATGATCGATCCTCATTATGTTTTGTTTTGGCATCAATCTAACTCACAATCTCATTTCCTTCTCATGATTTCGAAAGCTGCTGTCAACACTATTAACTAACATATTTTCTGTTTTTATCTAACGAGTTATAACTGCACTTTTCTTATCATCGTTGAACACCCACTAAATAGTTTGCACAGTTCTTTACTCTTATAAATTATGTTTAAATTGTAAATAGTTGATGTTCATATGAGCAGTTGAATCAGGTAAGACTCTACAAACACACTTCTACCAGATTCCACGGTGCAGACAAAGACCAAAACTCATGTATTTTTCTTTATGGACATTGTTACTTGTATTATTTGTACACTCCTGAGAGTTTATTTATCTACATGAATATTTATGAGGCTTTGCAAGATTACAGACCATGTATTTCAATGTTTCCGCTATGGGATTATCTCTAGACTCCTATTTTTGTGACTGGGATCTGTAATTATTGTCATTAAAGTGATTGTTCAAAACGCTACTGTCAGACTGATTTTTTGGCTTTCTTTAAAATACTTGTGTAACATAACAGTTTATAAATTTGTGTTGTATTTTTGCAATATTTATGAGGCATTTTGCCCAAAAGAATCTCAATAGATATCAAAATATCTGTATGTAAAAATTGATTCCAATACATTAACCCTAAAGTGAGGCAGAGTTATAAAATGTAACCTATCCACCTGTGATGTCATCTAGTTCAAAGACGATTCACTGCACAAGAAAAGTAACATTAAAGAAAAACAGTTTCCACTCAGCTCTTAATAACTATTGTGTAAATGAGACGAGCTTTGGCTTCATGGTTGCTCTAGAAACTACAAACAAGATATGACGTTATAAATTATTTTTAAAACTTGGCATTATTTGGCAAAAAAAAATATCCATGTGAAAGAAGTTTTAGTGAAGTGAACTGTCTGACCTCAGGTTATAATGGAGCCGAATTGAAGACATCCATGTTGTATTTATAGAATAATAATAAATATTATAACAACAACAATAATATGGATGTTTAATGAGGGTTAGGGCCGCTGCTTTTTGCATCTGGGACTGGCCTGAGTCGAGTAAATAATGTGCCTGGGGTGAAAGTATAGATCTTTTGTCCAGATCCATTTTGAAGTTGATAAGTTGTAAATAAAATTATTTCTGACAACTTTACAGGACAGAGGTCAGACACCTATGGCCCTGGAGCCAGATGTGGTTCTGAGACAAATCTTAGGCATTAATAGTGTGTTTTATGGATCGGACTTCTTCAGTATAAAACATTTAAACAAAAGAATACATATCTCACTCTAAATGTGTTTAGATGTTCATGTTCAAAAAAAGTGTACCGACTGCCACAGAAATACTTTAAAGTATGAGACTTTTTTGCTCACGGCTAAAAAGATTCCTGACTTCTGACCTTCGAACTCTTAATATCAAAGAATCTAGATATGAAGAGTTTGAAGGCACAAAAAAGAAGGTAAGTGGTTCCTGGGATCCACAGCGTGTTTTCTTGTGGTCATTAATGAAACAAACAGCTGATGGCCCAGAACAGATGTCATAATTTGACTGAATATTTGTTCCAAATTCTTCAACAAGGATTTTGCTCCAGGAACTCCAAAACTGTCTCCATAGGAACCAATATTGTAAATAAAAGCAATTAGGGGGGAAGTTATTACATTTATTCATCTTGATTAAAAACAGATTATACTGAGTTCCAAGGATAAAAAAAATGAAAGAAAATTCAATCAATTCATAGTAAAAAAATCAATACAAATTTGTACAGGTTCATTTAACATGAATTTAGAAGCATGGCTAACCACTTCAATTCTGTATGCATGAAGTTAGAAGCACGACTAGCAGAAAGTACATACACTATTAGCCTCCAGAAGTAAAAAGATGTCAGAAAAGAAAATACATTGTACAATATTCAAATAAAAACGTATGCATATCAAATTTTATTAGTGTAAAATATAAGTCAGACATTTCTTCATAAACGTGGAGGAGGTTTCCATTCACCATCACCGCGTGCAGACGTCATCGTTGCACTGCAAGAAACAAGAAAAGCAGTTTTATTATGAAACACATTGGTGGAGTCCGGTCATATAAAAAGTACTCTTGAATGACATAATAGTTTGACCACAGTTACATAAAATACCATTATTCAACATCAAAATCGATATCCATAACAACACATGTAATAAAATCAATACAAAAGGTGCCTCACTTCCTGTTCAGCTCAGAATAACCGGACCATAAGAGACTTTTGTAACAATAACTGTAAGAAGGATGTGCTCAAAAATATAGTGTCTAAAGGAGACTTCTTATCCAGCTCGAGTCCTGACTAGAACCAGGAAGTAAGATCACATCAGTTATCAATGTTTGTATGGATGGATGTGTTTCTGCTGCTGGACACCTGGATTTCTCCAACGAGGATCAATAAAGTATGTATCTGTCTCAGGTCTCTGCACTGGCTCCTGTGGCTCCGAGAATACACTTTAAAGCAGTTACAATTCTATCCATGGCCTCGCACTAAAGCACATCTGTGACGTGTTAGTGCCATATGAACCAGCCCGGACTCTGAGGGACTGACCTTCTGCTGGTGCTCAGAATCAGAACTAAACATGGGAAGGCAGCATCTAAAATCTGGAACAGTCTTCCCGATATTTGCGAGGGAACAGGCTTCTACTCTGATAATGTTCAAATCCAGTTTAAAACAGCTCTTTTTAGCTGTGCAAAGGATTCAAAAACGATAATGATTTTTATTTTAATGATTTATTGTCTTGTTTTGTTAAGTCTTGCATTGTTTGAGTTGTGTGTGAACTGTAGACTTGCCTTACATACACTGTAGGGCCAAACAGCGTAATAATACCTCCTAATTTCAGAGTGAATCAATCAAAGTCTAGCACTCTTTGGACCCTCAAAGAAAAACCAAGCAATTTTTCACACAAATTAGACGATGGTTTCAGGGGTTCACACTTTTGGTCTGGTTCACTTTGGGTCAGAACGGTTCACAGGTCCAGGTGGTGGACCGCATCACTTCTGCCCCACCTGAACCTGCGCAAGACGGGAACGAGATTCAGGACCCCCAGATGCGGTCTTCAAAAAGGAAAAACGGGAAGTACACAAAAACCTAAAGTAGTAAAGGCCCAGGGTTTGCGTTCACCGATAAATCACAAGTGAACCAGCTGAAGAGAACAGTGTCTTGCTTCCCAGCGGTGGAAGCTGATGCGGCCCCCATCACAGTGCTGCTTAGGTTTCTGAGATCTGAAGCCCATAATGGAATTTGTGGGAATTGTCTAATTTTAGGGTGAATAAAGGGAACTTCTCTTGTATGATGTCACTAGTGTCAGAATGTTTTGACAGTGTGCTCTTGTCGAACTCAAGCAGTGTGTCTGGAACCTTCGTAGTCTCCCGTTACTATTGCTGCCTCCTCCACACTTTCCAAAGAGACACTATGTTTACTCTTTAATCCCCCACAGAGATGGAAAACAAAACTCCAGCTTCAAACGTCCACGCATCTCTGTACTCTCCTGGACAAGCTAAAAATACTCAGTTCATGTTTGGTCTACTCAACAGAATGTTGTTATGACATTGTGGTTGTGTGAAGCCATAAAGTGATAAGTGTAATAAACATGAACCCTGAGGAAGGTGAGTGGCTGAAAAGAGTTTAAAATAATTATAATAGTAAGTGAATAGAACAAGAACACATACATTTGAATTATATACATGATTGAAAAACAAGTCCTTCGAGATAACTACTGTTGTGATTTAGGGCTATACAGAAATAAATAGTATTCTTCCATCCATCCATCCATTTTCTCCCAGTACACTTAGCACCAGCCCCTCACTGATCCTCCTGCAGGTGGTGAGTCCACAGGAGGAATTGTATTCTTGGTTTTCATTAAACTGGCCTGTAGAGGGCGAATGAGCAGAGGTGGGACAACTCAGTTTTGCTCCCATTGAAAACCATGTAAATCGTGTCTGTTTTGGAGTCAAAAGGCTTTCATCCTGTGAGGTGTACTGTTGTTGTAATAGTCTTAATCGGGAAGGGAATTGTTGTAGAAATCTAACTGGGGTTATAAATCAATTTAACTTAGGAATGAATCTAATGATGAATTTGGATATCTGGGACAAAGTTCAAAGCTAGTCAATCTGTTCAAGCTAACTAATCTGTTGTTCTGTAGAGACGGCGAGGCCAATGACGGGGTGGAGGCAGATACTAGCTTGATATCAGGGGCAAGAAGAGCGGGCTCACCGGTCATACTGACCATTCTTCCTAATATCAGAGTAATATCAGAGTCTATCAGAGTAAGACGTCAGAAGAGAGGGGGGTTTGGGCTACGGCTACCACTTAATCTCGGACTCAGAGACGCCATAGATAGACTCTTCTGTTTGTTCCATCCTATAAATATGAGAGAGAGTGAGCACTATTCAGCAGATCTAACCGGGACCTGCCACGCGGTTACACGGTTGTATTTCCTGTATATGTATACATTTACTGAGATAATAAACCACACTTTGATTTGAGTTACAGCTCTTGTTGTTTATTTTATATTTAATATTGTGTATTTCACTCCTTAGAAATTCCACAACAGAACACTCAATTCTAAGGGAGTACTAACAAATATTACTCAAAAGAGTCTTGATTTCGGGCATTTTTGGAAAGAAAAACAGAAGAAATTGCCGCGCTTCAATCGGGTGGCCTGCAGGGGGCGCTTATCTGGGAAAGCCTTGATCCACCTCGCCCGCCTCATTCCAGTGATTTTTTCAAAGTGTCCTCCTTTATATGAGACCACAGTTGGAACATGGAAGAAACTCTTGTCTTTCTCTCTATTTGCGCGGTTGCTACAAGCGTACATTGAACAAAAAGATGGCATTTTGACAGCGCTTCTTCTTCTACTATGTCACCGTGTATAAACCCGGCAGACTGCACCACCAGGATACGTCACGTCCAGTCCTACGTTTGTTATTCGCGCCACTGCCCTGACGTCATATGAAACCCAAGAATGGAACTGAATTGATTTGAATTTACGGCCAATAACCTCCTCAACATGTCCGCCTCGGTGTGAAAACCACCTCAGACACCTGTTCTCATGTCTTGTCCTTTATAACTGAAAATACATCATGAATGTGCTTCCTACTCTCATCAGTCAATGACCCATGTCTCAAATCAGATCCTCCTGAATGTCTGTGTGAAATCATCAGAAAGACACGTGTGGATCATGGGCAGATCTTGGGAAAAGCCGCGGGGCAATGTGCAGAAGATCCGTGTGTTGGACCGAAGAACCATCCACCCTCGCTGATGATCACAAGACATCAGGCCCATGACTCTCACACTAAGCTCACCAAATGTCAAAGCTTCAGTCCGGATTGATTTTCTCAATATTTCAATGTCAGAAGGGCAACAAAGGGACCTTTCTGTGCGGACGTTGCATGTTCTGCCCCTGTTGGTTTAGTCCCAGCTCTTAACCATGTTCTTGCCTTGAGAACGGCTGCACTGGAGTTTCTCAAATACAAAAGGATGACTTATTTGCCTTTCCAGGAATATTCCACAGAAGAACATATGAATGATAAGGGATTCAGACGATAGAGCAGACAGAATCTTATGCATAATGGCTAGCCGCTAGTAGCTAACCTCACGCATATAAATCCCAAGAATGCTATTAAAAGAAATGACTAGAGTTTCTCTCAAACCTGTCTGAACACTCCAGTCCCAGTCCACATGCTGATTGGAGGGAACCTTGCCACACATTCAAAGCTTTAGCACTCAAACTTTGGAAAAGCAATAGCTAAATTTGCTCTCATGCATACATAAAAAAATTGAATTTAGAATTAGTTAGAATTTATTGAAAATGTTACGCAAAATAAAACAATATTACCAATAAACAAGACAAAAAGCAGAGGCTTCTTTGGCTCCAACCCCTCTCACTCATTCAACACAATCACACACAGACACACACACACACACTTGACACAGCACAACACACAACGAGACACAGGCCCAAACACTCTCTGACCACACACCTCCCTCCCATTACTCGCTCTGTGCTAAAGTCCTCAGACATAAGCACATGTTTGGTAAATGTAGTCAGTTTACTTTTTGTTTTTCAGTCCGGCTCAACGGCAGCGGCACAATTAAACACACCATGTTTCCTGCTTTTATCTCATGACAACAAAACAAAACAACAACATTAGTGCAGAGGGACTGTGTACTTCATGATCAGAATGAGGGAACAAAATGAGAGATTTTCCATGTATCTTTACTCTTTTTGAGGCACTGGGGCTATTTGTGATTTTAATCCCATGTGTGATTCATGTTATCATGTTTTAAATACTTGTTTTGAATATTTCTTGTGATCTTGATGTTTGTTTTAATGCCCTGTGGGATTTTAATTGTATTACTTAATGTTTATGTAGATTGTAATGTTTATGACTTATGCTTGATGTGATCTGGGTTTTGAGGCGCTCAACAAATAAAAGTCGGTTGATTGAAAATGGGTGGGCCATGTGTAGGGGCCCACCTACACATGGCCCACCCATATCGTAGACAATATTATCGAAGATTTGAAGATATGCTTTTTTGTATTATCGTCCTTTTTCTTTTTACATACATATTACAATTAGAGAAGGTCAGATCCCCATTCGTCTAATGTGTGCCTAAAAAGCCAATCACTGCTTTATTTGTACATTTCAGTACATATTGAGCTAGCCTTTTTGGATGTGTTCTTTCTGTGTTACTTGAATTTGATTTTTAATGTTAATATATGTGTGAAGCTTCTATTTAGATCTACACTGTCTTTATCTAAAGATAGCCTGGCTCTGCCAGACCCATGTAGTTCCGCCATGCTCCACCAGTGGTGTTTGGCTGAACCACATTGGTATGGTACTCCTTGATAGGAGTTATATTTCAGAAGGCAGGGCTTATAGAAAAACTCCTTGTATGTGATTGGATAAACCACTTGTTCGTTTTCTTGAATGACGTCTGCTTTCAACCACTCACATCGAAGCACACGACTCCCATAGGTTGCCAAATGCCGGCAAGATTTTCCAGCCCAAAATTCGCGAGTATAAAAATGTAATGTAATCCACTTGGGCTATCATGATTCTGTTTATTTATTACCTACAAGTCTCTTGGAAAAAGTATACGGGAAACCACCCAACCTGGCAACCCCACTGCATAGTGTTGTAACAGGGACACCTACCCCAGTGCTTAAACCAAACTTTACACGGACATTTGACTCTTAAAACACACTTATATCGACATAGAACCATCAACATCTTGCCTCAAATTGCATTAAAAGTGACATCCGTGTCTTAATTTGTTCATATTTAAACTTTTAAAAAGAGTTGCGGTCCGCCATCTTGGATTCCTTTCGCTGCTGTGTCAGACCATAATACATCCATGTGTCAGACACGCACAAGAAGGCAGTGCAAACCCAACGTAACACCGGCGATCCTGATTGGTCAATTATTTTCTGATCTGCTGAAGGAGTTTGGTATACGCTCGATACCAGACCAATGTGGTTCAGCCAAGCACCTCTGGTGGAGCATGGCGGAACTACATGGGTCTGGCAGAGCCAGGCTAATCTCTAGATGCCCTAGCAGCAAAACATTACAGATCATTGTGTGTAAAAATGATTGATTTTAAAGATATTGTGAAAATTTCGTTATTTATTTTTGTCCATATCGCCCACCCCTAGCCATGTGTGACCCACTGTTTAATCATGGAAATCATTTTTACCTCCATATTGCATGTACATGTAAGGCAAGAGAAATAACTAATAGAAAACAAACCACAATAGTCTTGTTTTTTATGTTGTTTTTGCATAATTAAGAACTAACCCTGTTAGTCAATATTTGACTTTTGGGCTGAGAGCGGATTTTATGAGCCGATCAAAAGATGTAAGGAGGGGGAGCGCGAAATGTTTTTTTCTACCTAAAGGGGGCCTGGCAGAAAATAATTGAGATGCACTGCCTGTTAATATATGTTAGTACATGTTTGTATATATATACCCAGAAATTGGTCGGGGGGTGGCCAGAGATGCCACCCAGTACACAGAACACCAGCCCCTCTTTGATCCTCCTGCAGGTGGAGGACGGCCGCTCTATAGCGGGGCCTTAGTCTTTCAGCGGGGGCTTCAGGCAAAGTGGGGTTGTGTTTAGTGCAAGGACACAACAACAGCAGTCATCAGTGGGAGTCGGTGGAGAAGGGCTCATGCTATCGAAATTTCCCCACTGTGGGATGAATAAAGGAACTCTTATCTTATGGTGGGCTCGAACCCATGACCTCCAGGTTCAAAGGCCAATGCACTACCAACTGAGCTACTGTCACCCCAGTGGCTCAATACTTTAACCAATATTTTTAATGATTGTAATATGTTTGAATTTTAAATATATATTCAATTATAATGTGTGTTTTTATCAGTGCTGTCAGTTAAACGCAGTGCGCATGTGTCATGTGCTGACCAGCGCCTGGTACCGGGCGTTAGAAAACAAAAGCAGTCACACTCTCCGCTGATTAATTACTGATTGTGTCCCTCAGGATTCACAACTATCTCCAGGTCAATCCCCGAAAATTGAATCTAGTTATTTCCCCCCCGTGATTGACACATACACTGTAAAAAACTGACTTGAATGAAAACATGAATAAAAGAGTCAACTATATTTCTACTATGATCAATAGTCCTGTACACTGGAAGAAGCAAGAACAAAAGCAGGGATTGAGTAGTCGGTTGTAGACAATCCAAATACTTTTCTTTTGGAGGGGATTGGATTAATAAGCGTTTTTTTTTCTTTGTCTAATCCCTTTTCAAACCAAATCAAGGGACATTTAGGACAGAGAAATCTGTGCGAGTTGACTATGACTAATAATGACTATTATGAATATTAATGCAATTAATCATATTCAAGTATTTCAATCATTTGACAGCATTAACTTTCATATATTTATTATTATTATTAGTAGTATTATTATTATACTTTTTGCCATTTACACTGTTCACACTGGATCATTATATTAAAACGTTCAATAAACAATGACATTAAAACAAAATAAAAAACACAAAGTGGCCTATAAGCATCCAAATAAGTATATTTCTAATATAAGAATTCCGATACTTGGTTTTTGAGCAGTTATTTGAGGTACTGTCAAACCACAGAAATAATCCAGTAACTCCCGGTTGTTTCTGGCTCTTAAACAGTTTGCTTCTATCACTGCTTTCACACAGATGTACAGGATCTCTCAGCTCAAAGCACCAAATAGTGACTCCAAGGGCACTTTCTTACAAATCTACAGATAATATATTTTCTAGTATATACAAGTGACGTGTCATAGAGGACATGTAAAAAATGAATACAAATGTGACATAATATCCCCTTTAAGTCAATGTATGAATGTATGAAGAAGCATATATTCTTTAGGATCGTAAATAAGCAGAGGTTTGGGTCTCAATTATCAGCCTGTCAGCGGCCGAATGAATGGACTCAAGCATTAAATAATATAATTGACAGAGTTTGTTTGTGTGGAAAAAGTCATTAGACGCGATGACATCGGCCTGGAGCTGCAGCCGCTGGAATAACGTGTGAAATCGGATGTGGAGGCATGACCCGCAGTGACGTACGCCCAGACGCTGCAGAAAACAGCTCTTTGTGCCTTCGATGGAGACTTGTTCGAAGCTTGCATTTAGTCCTTCTGCTGTTCTCTATATGTTTGCAGACACGGTCATGCGCCTGCTGCGCAAAAACTGGGCTAAAAGTGAACAGTGGCTGCAGGACGACGCACAATTATATTAACGTCGCAATTTTAGTAGTCGCAGTTTGCAAATCACAAAGGCTGCAACTAATCATTCTTTTATGAACAAAACATCAAATGAAAAGAATGAGCTGAATTCTGGACAAAGCCGTATTTTAATACTTGGACTCCCAGAATCATGAAACTACTAAAACTGCCAGAGCCGTCATTTTGACTGCTCCCAAATTCACCAATAATTTTAGTTTTTCACAAGATTTATTAAAAGTGATATTTAAGGTTATAAATGTATCTTTACTCAGTTTGAATAACAAACGCTGTTCTAGACCCAGTCCAGTACCAGTCCAGGACCAGCACTTTGAAAAGGGCTGTTAGTTGCCAAGCGACAAAAAAAATGAATGGAGTAGTCAAAATGACTGCACAACACACATTTCAAAAACAAAACGAAATTTCATAAAAGTAATGACAGACAGATAAACTGAATACAGTAATGACACTTTAGTTTGAGTGAAAGGATTAGAAGGCCCTGTGAGTCACTATTTGTTGCTTTAGGTTGAGCTGATTGGCCGAGTCAGGCTGGTCCACTCTGTCACATCATTTTCAGACTAAAAAGTGATAGAACCACAGTGAGCGAGGAACTAGTGAACTATGTGGATTTTATTATAAGACAGTAGTTCAATTATTTGTGGTTTGAAAATTAGGTCCCCCAGCTTTAATTGTGTTTGAATAAGCACCTCTGGTTGTTGAACAACTCATTTACATTCTCAGATAGGAATGTTTCTATCATATTGTGATTGCACCAGACTCAAATAAATATGGATTAGACCCATGAAGACGTGTACGATTGCCTATCACATTCCTTGTCAATAATTGTGTTCCTTTTATCTTGCCAATGACCAACGATATTAAAAGTAAAATAAATAAATAAATAAAAAATGCATTCATAGTCCAGGGTCTTACCACTGGTCTCTGACCAGCCTGGACTGTGGCGGACACTCCCACAGCCTTGGAGATCTCCTCTAGAGGAACCATGTCCCCAGGAGAGTCCTGCACAAAGTGAAGCAGCACCTTCTCTCCACCTTTAAACACAGTAATAACACAATTATTACATGCTTTAATGTTGTGTATTATTTATTTGTATTATTTATTTATTTATTTACCACGGATATCAAATAAATGCATAAAAAATGTAATGTCTTTGTGAAAATGAACTCTGAAAAGCTGATAAATGAGGTTTATGTTTTGTGATGTGGAGAAATATTCGACAAATTGCAGTAGAACTAAAGACAGAAATGGTGCCTTGAAAAATACAAGTTATGCATTTATTCTGGACATTAAAAGATATAAATCATGTACTTTGTTTTGATTAGAGAAATAAAATGTTAGGTTGAGATGAGAATTGATGATGAAACTCCTGAAACTCTCTCCAGAAGGATGAGTTTAGTTCGTTTTGTTGTTTTCTAAATTCAAAAATGATCAGCTGCAAGTACAGCCATGTGATTGTAAAGCAAAAATTTTACCTTTTACTTTTGTTTTAAAAGCCAGTGTGATGTTATGGTCGTACAATGACACCATGCTATTACATGACTGAAACAGGAGCTTTTAGACAGAAGGGAGAGATACATGTTTGGGCCAGAAGTTCCTGGTCTTAGCCTGGATGGATCTAAAAAACAACCCCAGGTCTGTTTTTGGTGATGTTATGAAATTGTTAAAATATTCAAAAGATAATGCAATTTAATACTAGTCTGTAATCATATGAGCAGTTCTTTACTTTCCTTATTTTCAGTTCAAGGTGCTGTACTTTTCTTATTCTTGTTTTGGCTGTGTTCACACTAAATAGGAACTAATTAAAAGTGCCAGACTTTGGGGACTTGCTCTTGCTCTCACTTTCCAGTGAAACCAGGAACCTTTGGAAACATACAAAAGACTGACCTTAGACCAGAAAATCAAAAGAACGAAAAATCGCAGTCTCATAGTTGGTAGATCGTGATTATTGACACCAGAATTCAAATCAAAAGACACTAATGATAAAAGAAGCAGGTGCTGAAGAGGAGGTCTGTGCCACGGCAAAACTATAACAACATCGCCCTCTAGTGGAGACACAGCATCACAACATCCATCCTATAGAAAATTACTTGCATTATACTTTATTTTTCATTTTTAATATGAACTTGATTCATATGAAAAAAAAACCGAATCAGTTCAACCATTGATTAAAAACTCACAAGTTGTTGCACTGTTTCTTTTCAAACATATCAGCCGTAATAATTCAATTCAAAGTATTTTTGTATAGTCCTACATCACAACACTAGTCATATTGGGGGACTTAACAAAACCGTTGAATTTGGCCAATACAAATCTGAGAATCAAATCCGTTCAAACACAAGAAATGTTTTTTGGGCCATAAGGGGCAGAGACCAATGTCCATAAGTGTTGATAAATGTTAAATAACTACTTATTAACGTGTTTATTGTGTATATTCCAATTTCACTGCTAAAAGGACATTTACTTGAGGCACTCACATGAGGCTTTTGTACATAAATAGTATTGAATAATGGATCAAAGTGCACTTAAAAGTATCCAAATGAAATATACACGTAATGATATTATCAACAATCTATTGAGATATTATTAAATGGACTGTTACCTTTGTTCACAAGGAGCATGCCTCCACTTTGCAGCAGGTCCCCAGAGAAGTTTCCTTTGATCCCAGCAGCCTCTGCCTGAAGAATAACATGATAGTGGAAGTTACAAGTAAGACATTTTTATTGTGAAATGGAACAACAGATGACCACAATGAGCAACACTCCCATCTGGTGGTTGAAGTGGGATATCACATTTTACTTTGGTAGTTTGACATCCATCATGGAAGACCTAATTGAAAGGATGCAGTTGTAAAGACCATAGTGTGAAGATTCCTCGTGTTTCCTGATTTGGAAAACATTTAAACAGAAGAGGCGGGAAGATGTGTTTGCGCCTTAAGTTCCTCAAAACAGCAAAACTGGATGGAACTAATAACAATTGTGGTTTGCTATTTACCATAAAAAAATGTCTGTTAATTATTTGATAAAAATGTGTTTTACTTTTTAAAACTTTACTTTTGCTTAAAGCTGGGGTACTCAAGTTTGAAATCACAAAATATGAACTATGTAATAAAATCTAAATAACCCTTCGGTAGAACAGTTTGGACTAGTTTGCGCATGCATGTACGTTTGGCCTCTGTCACATCTTTGAATGACATTTTTCAGACAGACAGGGAAAAAGAGAGGACCACGCTCACTCAGCCAATCAGCTCTCAGCATGAAAACGACAGAACCTTGTGGTCTGATTTGTTCACAAAATGTTACTCACACAAGATACATTCTGGTGGAACAAAGTAAATGTATTTAATTAATCAAAACAGCTGATTACTCCAGCTTTAAGTTCAATTTTATTTATTTTTGTATAGTCCCAAATCACAACAGTAGTTATGGGGAGTGGACTTCACAAAGTTGTCTATTCGCCAACACAGGTTAGACAATCAACAGGTCAATCACAAAAAATGCAATGATAAAAAAAAAAACATAGAGCCATCGGTCCATAAAGGGCAGATGACAAATGTCCATAAATGATTAAATCTGTACTTTAACGTAAGTTCCTCAAACTAGTACTTTTTTCCACCTCTGTCTAATATTAATAGTAGTGAGACTGACCTTTGAAGAGACGTCCCGTACTTTCTTCCCCAGAGCGGCAGGAACAACCCCAAGAGCGCTGTATCTAAAAGAAAACTAAATGATATTATTATAATGTTACAAACACAAACAGAAATGATAGATGAAAAAAAAATCATAAAACACCTTTTGAAGCCCAGGTCCTTGTAGCATTTCTTCTTCTCATCGACATAAACCGCTGAAAAAAACAACAAGACCAAAGAGGTGACTCCAAGTAAACGCCCATTTATAAAATCAGTATAAAATGTGGTCATTCAATTCAATATATTTGTGTAAAGCTCTAAATCACTGCCGATTTGCCAATGACAGATCAGAGAATCAAACTGTTCTAAAGCAGGAAATGCAATAAAAACAAACACATAGGAGCCATTGGATGAAAAATAGCATGATTATGACACAGAAATGTCAAAGGTCATCCCTATCTTTAGACCCTAAAGTGGGAAAAAAGAGTTCCCATGGACGGACAGGTTGTAGGTAAGACTTTGTGACATGCATTCATTTTGACCCATAAATGTGATCTTGAGAATATTTTCAACTTTTAGAATGTTAAATAAAAGCTGGGTACCTTCACCACAACATTAGGAACTGTGTAATAAAACCCATGTCACTAAATACTGGCTTTTTCTCCAAAAAGTTGGCTCCTATCACTAGTTTTCATGTATGTTTGGCCTTTGTCACGTCTTTGGATCAGTCAAATTTTAATCTAAAAGAACTTTCGAACATCACTTGTACATGACTCTTTTTTCTTACTCCAATCTAGTGCATTATATTTTAAGGCACACAGTTGTAAACAATGTTTTTCTGCGCTAATTTTGAAAACAGAGCATTTAGACCAGGTGTGTCAAACTCATTTTGATTAAGGGCTATACAAAAGATTTAAGGACCGATAGTGTAAAAAATAACAAAGAGATGTCATTGAAGAGCAATTCACTCTGCCACCGTGCCGCCCAAATGAGGTATAACCATGGATCTATAATAATTACTGGATAGGGTATTACAAGCTTATAGCTGTCCCACCCGCGGGCACAGGGGGCGCCCGTGGTACTGCAGACTAAATTCACGCAGGCTACCCAGAAATAAGTTTGATAGATCTCAATGTAAACTAAACACCTCAACCTCAGCTGACAGAGAACCTACAGCTTTCAGAAAGGTCAGATTTTGTGGGGATTTTAGTGTCCCTTGTCATCCTGAACTTTTAATCTTCTTAAATCCTTCGGTTTTCTTTAAATCCACACTGAGCTCATCATGGGAGCTCATCCACTGTGCAGAACCGGGAGGACCAGACGATGCCCAAATATAGGCGAGTTCTGCTAATCTTTCAGTCCCCATGAAGTCCCATGCTCTACTGAGAACAAGCCATTCATTTGAATGCGGCGCCATCTTGGATCACCGGGGCTTGGGTATAACCAGTGGGGGCGGGTCCCGGCTCAAAAGTGGCCAAAAAGACATGCCCATGCGCAGATGCGTTATTTCACAATTTTCTTGTGGGCGGGACCACTTGCGGATAGCTCCAGTAGAGCACAATTTTTGGCCCAATAGTTTGAAAGGCGGAGATAGGCGTGACTCTGTCCGTTAATATATACAGCCTATGGGTATAACATACCTTTGTAGCCTATTACCATCAATTTTATAACTTAATATAATACATTTAAAATCATTTCAGGGACCATTGAAAATGGTCTTGTGAAAATTGGTCGGTTTGTGCTGATGTTTTTTAGTGATATGAGCTAAAATGAGCTAAAATGAGCTAAAATGAGTTTTAGAGTATGTCCTTGCAGATGGAGGAGGGTCAGATATGGACCAAAAATCGTCCCGTTCCAGCGACAATGTACTAAATCAGGGGTGCCCCCCCTGGCCATGGGAGAGGAACCGCGCGGCTCAAAACAGACATGGGGCCATGTTCTAAATTACACCCATGTTCTAAATGATAAAAGAATAATGTAACTTTGTATCATGTGATCTTAAACTAGTCACGACTGCATTCGTTTTACCTCCTTTGAAAAACCCGCCTGCTTTAAACTCCTGAAGGCCGAACTCTTCAGGCCCGACCCCGATCAGAGACACTCCAGCAGCCTTCAGATCCGCCTCCAGTTTGCTGATTTCCGCTGCCATCCACCGGCAGATCTGGCAACCGAACCTGCGCAGGAAAAACAACACCACCGGCTGGTCCTTCCACAGAGACTTCAGCTCCACACTCTGGCAACACACAGTACAACGACAATTTATATTATCCCTGTTTTTGAATTTTTGCAAGAAAATTCAACAATCAGATGATCACACATCCCCTGTCAGTCTGCCCCAGGGCTGTTGTGGCAACAGTAGTATTTCCAACACTGTATGGAGTGAATGAATAAAGTCAGGTATATAAAACCAATGCATTATTATTATTATCATTTATACCTACTTAGAATTTAACCTCAATTACGAACACAAACATTTTAATATTTATATCCAGTAAAATATTAATGAATGTGTTTCTATAGGAGTTAATGCCCACTCAAGGAATCCCTGGAGTGATGTCATCATTTCACAACCAGGAAGTCATATTCAACAACAGAAAAACTGAAAAACTGTGTAATATTTGTAGCTAAATGTGAGGTATAGTTACAGCTACATGAACATGGGAGACAGAGCAGATCCAATAAACTACAAACGCTAACACAAGTAATAAAATGTGGACTTTACCCTGAAGACCATGAACGCACCTTCTCTGTTAGAAAATCATTACAGCAGCAAATACAGGCTCCTCTCTGTGTACACATCATAAAACTACTATGGAAGACTTAATGCTTGTGTTTTTAGAATTTGATCTATATTACCATATTTGGTGAAATGAGACCTTTTTAAAATATGAATTCTAATTTTATATAAATAAAGCTTCAGGTTGTGAGCAAAATACATGTTATAAATGTACACTAGGGACTGAACTTTTGAAAGATAGACCAATGAGCATAGAAAAGAATATTTTTTACAAAGACAAAGACAATGTTATTTCTGAAGTATGAACACCTGTTTCAAAAGCAGAGGAATCAGTAGAATTATTTGTTTAATTATGATTCGCCTGACACACACCCTTGGTGGCATTGAAGGATGGGTCAAATGCAGAGAATTGTATTGTATTTGTTACAATACAATACTTTATTAATTCCTCATAGGAGAAAATTGTTGCAAAAAAGATCACTTCAATTATTTGATCCATTGTCTAGCGTTGAGATATACAATGGTTTTTCTTTATGGCCTTAATAAGTTAATCAATTATTCATTTGAATATAGAAATAGTTGTCAACTAAATTTGTGATCTCATTAGTAATCTGACTCAGATAATTCTATAATGATCAGTGATTATCTGGGGCATTTGAGGACATTTAGTAAAGGACAACTCACCCTCAAATCCATAAACGGTATAAATGAGTGTCCAATAGTGCTGTCTACATATCCTGGTCATAATTTTATCACTTTAGTGCAAATTAGTTGAAAGATCAACTTTCTGCCTAAAACCGTCAGTGAGGCGCCATCTGCAGGCGACCTGTATTTACTACATTTGAATTTTGGGCACAGCAGTGATACCTGTAGTCAGTTGCCCAGTCTCGTTAACGCTCCCCTAGCGAAGGAAGGAAGGAATAGCAGAGTATTTTCATTGATTGTCAGGTTTGCGATTAGTTATAGCATTTAAGTAGGTTTTCATTAGCATAGCTGTTTGTATTATAGGTAGCTGTGTAGTGTTAGCGTTGTTGCCTGGAGCACCAAGGGACAAGAAGGGGGGCTTAGAGTCTGGGCTGTGATTGACAGCTCACTTGTCACACGAAAAAAACAGACAGTTGTCATTGCGGCTAAAAGCAAAAGTTTACACACCAGAAAGTCTCATTCCACCCTTGTTTACACACTAAGATAATTGTAGAGCTACACACCTGAACCTTATCCACAGAATTATCTCAGCAGCAGTGACGTCCACTCATGTAATTTAATATCAATCCACTAGATGTCGCCAGAATACTCCAACCTGCTCCTGGGGCGTGTGTGAGAGTTGAATGAGTTCATATCACTGGCTCAGAGAGACGCACTTCACACATACCAACTGACATCACACAGATTAACAGAGTCAATGGAGAGGCCAGGACCAAATTCAAATGTAGTACCACCAAAAAGGTTGAGAGGGCGCCACACAGACGTTTTTAGGCTCAAAAGTGAGATTTTATCTAATTTGCACTAAAATGTCAAAAAAATTACCAGGATATGTAGAGAGCACAACAATAAACATATTTATGCAGTTTATGAGTTAAGAAAAGTTGATTTGATGTTTAGTCGCCCTTTAACATTTTGGAAAACCCTGCTAACTGAAGTATATGGGTGAGCATCTTCCTTTGTTTTGACTAATACCTGAACGACTGCGAGCTTACACAAACAAATGGACCTACTCCCTATGGACCAATAGCTCCTATGTGTTCTCTGATCTACTGTTGAGGAATTGATGACTTTGTCCTCCGAGACAACTGCAGTTGTGATTTAGGGCTATACACAAATAACTGTAACTTAATTGAAATATGTTTACAGAGTATTTTGAATCAAACCCCAATGTATAACATGTATCTCTATGACTCGAGCTTTGTTTTGGTAAAATGTTAAAAGAAATCCTAAAAATGCTTTTGAGATCAAAGCAACTAACCAATGAATCAAACTAATAGATAATCACAGCCAAATAGTTTACATTCAAATCCAGCTGACATTGTTATTTGTATTTCTTTTATAATGTCTACACGAGCTCTCATGACACACAAAGAAGGCGTTGGTTGTAAAATATGTGCAAGACTCATGGATTTATAGACTGAGGAATTTTGGCACAATTTTCAACAAACACATTTCTATGACTAATGATTAACTAGGTAAATAAACATATGTTATTCTAATTAAATATGTAATTACATGGTTGATAGCGTTTTCAACCACAACCAGGAAGTAAAATTATTAGTCTATAGTCAATGAATGTAATAATAATAATAATAATAAATATACATAGTTCGATAGTGAATTGTGAAACTTTCTTCTAACTTCTCATATGCTTTTTAAAACAACCGGAGGATTTCCAATTGCATAAGACAATAGGGCTGTTTACGCAATTACAAACAGCATGATCACAACCCCGGTTTTCCCTAAGGACTTAAATCCTCCCCATATGAACAGGTACACATGATCAACCCGCTGTTATGTTCACTAATGACTACATTAAAGCTAAGTCGCTTCATACGAGTGTAAACAAACACGGTACCTCTCCAGTCTCGTTCTTCAACATGTTGTTTCCAATCGCTGCCAGGTCAATGTTTGCCATTTTGCAGTAAAACACAATTCAAAATACTCTACGAAAAGCAGTGGTGTTGTCTAAGCTTGAATGTAAGGGGAAGATGACTAGAAACGTGAAGTAAATGAATGAGATAAGAGACGAACGCCCACAAACAGTTGCAAAACAACCACGTCCGTAAACGCCCCTTTGTGAGAATAGCCAATGACATCACAGGAATGTTTGGTATTCAACCAATCAGGAACGAGTATTAGAAGTAGTGTGTGAAGAGGCGGGACTTGGGTTTAACAACTGAGCACGTGCTGAAGTAAGAGGTGAGCTGTCAATCATGTGGGTTAGGGTCAGTGAGAGTGTGAGTGTTCTGAGATGATCAATCTCTCTATAGAAGTCTCCATGTTTATCTTGTTACTTGGGTCGGGGTACTCTATTCCTTTTAGCTAACTCTGTCATTACAAACATGAACTTTGGTGGAACATTGAGGAATACTGTAAAGAAGAATGAGGCTCGATGACTAAGTACATCAATAGTATAATGGTGTATGTGTATATGTATGTGTGTGTATGTATGTCTATGTATAAGATAAGATAAGATGTGCTTTATTTATCTCACATTGGAGAAATGTACAATGTGTGTGTGTGTGTGTGTGTGTGTGTGCGTGTATATGTGTGTGCATGTGTATGTATACATGCACATATATATTTTTGTATTTTACTGTGTATTTGTACACTTTTAGCACCATCTCCCTTGTTTCCACAAATAGTGTATTTTGTAAATGAGGGGTAGGACCACATAAGCTTTTACTTCTTCCTATACTCCCTTTTGAACATGTGAATGGAATGGAAACTTTTGTTTTTGTTTTTATGATTATAAAATACGCACACATGTTTCAAAATAAACAAAATGAAATGAAAGGAAAGTGAACTCAAGTTACATGCAGATAATTAAAGTATTTGTTCGCAATCACAATCATTATATACAACATATTATATTGTTTATTATACAGCTTTTGTGGGACAAAATTAAGCATGATGTGAAGGATCTGATACATGTTTTGGATTAAAAGTTACTCAAAATAACTCAAATATCTTCATTTTAAATAGAGTAATAACAGTAACAGTTTTAATATAATTATATATATATATATATATCTTTGTTTCCTCACAAAACTATAATAAAAACTTAAACAGTGTATTATATTAAAGAACATTTCCGATGTAAACGCGCCAAAATAGGCAAAAAGCTTTTATCATCTGTTGCTCCAGGTGGTTAGGGGTGAGGCTTGCCCATTTTTAGGGGTGCTCTTTTCGAGAGATCATATTTCTCTCATAGAATACATGAATAATCTGTATTGGTGAGTGGAAGACATGATTTTGTGAGTGTCTTTTATTCACTTAATAATTCTGCTCACTATAAAATCCCATCAACAGCTGATGATTTACTCAAAAATAAAGGAACGTATCTGATCTTATTTATTAACTTTTCAGAGGTGAGTTTTCCTCAATTATGCTTCTCGGCTGATCAACTGTTGTCCATCATTTCAGTTGATGTGATTTAAGGCTTTACACAGAGAATGAATGGAATTGACATGTTTAGTTCGATTCACTTTCATACATAAATAAATACAGAGGAGCCAGGTGTCTCTTCTACAAAACGGAACATTCCACTTCAAGTCTTGCATCACAGACTTCAGGCCAAGTCTATTTCCATTTGATCAAGTCCAGACCAGAGTCCAATGAGGTGCAAACTTCTATTGATCAAAGGAAATGACCAAACAAGAAAACATGATTTAGGCCTTTGCATTATTCATGAACGAATAAATCAAATACAATTACAGTCTTAAAATATCATGTTATTTCTGCTCAGGCTCTGATTCATCGCGTGCTTCAGGTGCTGGATTTCAACAAAGAAACTGGCAACCCAAATAGACTCATTTTGCTCTCTGATATGTTTATTCATTCATATGTTTGGATCTGCATTAGCTTCCACACGTGGATCCGACAGTCTTCGTGGAGTCCACTCCATACAGGATCAAGATCAAATTGGACAATCGATTAAGGAAAAATACGATAATATGGTCATGCATGTTTATTTGTAGAGCACAATTTACAGAGGGCAACTCAAATGGCTTTACTCAAGAAAAGAGAAGGCATTCAAATCATAAACAATCAAACAATATTAATTTGAGACAGACTGTACAATTCAGTTGTTGCACAGCAATAATTGTGTTTATATTGTTAAGAACATGGCCAATGAATATGTTTACGAAGACACATTAATATTCTATATGAAGATGTCAATACTTACATACATACATGAATACATCATATTCTATATAAACTGGAGAAGGATATATAATTCAGTCTTGTACATACAGAATCGAATACTATCACTTTTTGGCTGGCCGCCTGGTGCCCAGAGTCAGGACTACACATGGAGCGTTTCAGGTGTGTACAACAAAAAATCTCCCATTTTCATCTTCCTGAAAATATGAGACAGGCTTCTACTCTGACAATGTTCAAATCAGGTTAACAACAGTTCTGTTTAGCCGTGCACAAATTCTATCTTCATTCTTTTTTAATGTACTGTGCTTATTTATGATTCTTGCTTTGTGTGATGTTTCGTGTTCTGTTGAGCACTTTGAGATGCCTTTGTGCTATACAAACAAACTTACCTAATACGTTTGGAATAGGCCTCCTTTACGCTTTAATTATAGATATTTTTAAACATTGCATGGGTCTAAATGTTGCATATACCCATGTGCGCGTTGAGCCTTTTTAAATATTTAAAGCAGACGCCCACCCTCCCTGCTGGGTGCTGCTGATGCTGCTGCTGTGGGGTGGGCTGTGACGTCACGCCGGAGCCGGAGGATGGAGAGGGGCGCGCGTCGCTCAGAGAGGAGAGCCGAGGAGAGAGCGCGCGGGGGATGACTGCATCAAAGGCGACACAAGCACAAGCATGACTCGAACAAACCGCCCTCCGAACGCGCTAACACACAAGCAATGGCGTGGCCGATCCCACAGTAGTCCCATGCAATAGACCCGGAGACGCGCGCAGGTAAATATGCCATTGCTATTATTATCATTATTATTATTACTAATTTGTATTATGGTTCTCCGCACGCCGTATCCACCATGCAGTTCCCCCACACGTCAAAAATGACAAGTCACGTTGGAGAAAAGATGGTGCATGCTTTCACTGTGTAATTAAACAGAACCTCATAAACATAGCGATGCATGGAGACGTCGTATAACGCGCTATCGCTGATCCTTTGTGACTTCAGCTCTGTATGAAATATTTAAAATGGAAAACATGCACGGGTTTGGACTGGAGCGCTGCGGCATTTACGGGCGAGCACATGGCCTCTGCTGCGCACTACGCCACTTGCGCATTGGTGGTTGGATGCAGAGGGCGCTATAGACTCAGCCTCCTCCTCCTCCTCATCACCATCATCATCATCATCTTTCTGAAGAGGCTGCAGTGTCCTCCCCGGGATCGCACACCTCAATGCGCCTTCACTCATGACCTTTGCAATGTGCCTTGTGCTTCTTGTGTGTTGCTCTTGTGTTGCGTTGTGTGGTAGAATGTGGGGATAGAATTAGATTGAGAAGAATGATTTGTGCTGAGTACTGTCTAAGAAGGAAATGCATGTCAGCAACAGTGATGGGAAACATACTTGTGGTTCCAAATGTTGCATTGATTTCAAATGATTTTACCTCTTTTTCTCTGTGTTTTACTTTTACCATACTGTAAAAGGCAATTTTGTCCTGTGTGGTTAATTGTTTGTTGTTCATGGCATGTCCAATTTCATGACTTCCCCCAATTTTCCTTTATCCACCGGATTCTTTTTAACTTTACCACCACTAAAATGTAACTGTCATATCCATCTATAGTGTCTCGCTCTCAAAACAGTTTGGTTCCATCAAAATAGCTTTCACGTGCATGTATTTATGGCCTCTGCCCTCTGCTCTGTCACAGCTTTAGATAGACTTTTTCAGACAGAAAAGTGTAAAAGAGAGGACCCTCACTCAGTAACCATAGATAGTGACTCACGTGGCTCTTTCTTATTCCTCCGAATAAGACATTTGACTGTTACTGGGGCAAACAAAATCTATTATATTATCATTTATAAAGTTAGGCATAACACAGCTTCAAATGTATACATTTACCAAAACAGTGCTTTTTACCGGATATGTTCACAGTCATTTTCTTATTCAACTAACAATAGAATTTCAGTGTTGCAGCACACATTACAGACAAGGGAGGCACTCAAAACAAGCTACATACCACACCATAAACATCTATAATATTTGCAGATAAGTTCAAGTATATCAAAACTATCACACATATTATTTTACTGAGGTTCTATGCCGTTACCTGCTAATATACAAATCTGGACTCATACTGATTTGTAATTTACACTGTATTTTTAAATGTACTAACCATCCCAATAGTTCTTATTCTTAGCCTGTGTTTCAAAATATGGCCCCTGGTACATTTTGGACACCCTTGTTATCAGTGTATTTCACCTATCGACAGACGGAGAGGAGACCTGCTCAGTCGCACGCAGATGTGAGACTGTGCTGCCATTTCATCCTATTAATATTTCATGGACTTTTGTTTTGTCAAATGTTTTATGAGCCTCCATTACCTGAGAACCACTTGGCAATGTGTAATCTACTGCAAGATGGGCACTGTAGACCAAATGAGTTACAATCTAAATCTATATAAGAAGTACATCATTTACTTCTATCCATCCTTTTTTTCCTCTTTATCTGGAGTCAGGTCACAAAGGCAGCACACATTATACTTCATAATAATCCTTTTGCTCACAAAATGTAACTGTAAACACATGAATTGATCTGTTCTAATAAAAACAGAGAAGAAGTTGGAAAACAGGAGCAGACAGCTTACTATTTTACAGCGTCACACATTTAAGAGATCTTGTATTCGTCCCACAGTGAGTATAGAGTTGGAATGAGGTGCACACAAGACAAGATAAGTGGATTTCAAGTATAGCACAATTCTATTGAAAAAAACACAATGAAATATCTGTCTAGAGCTTAATAAAGAAGTAGACCAATACTGTTTTCTCTAGTGCAGTTGTTGTGTCGTTAGGCAAGACACTTCACCAACATTGCCAAGAATGAGTCTGGTGTGTGACTGAATGGTTGGTGGTGGTTGGAGGGCCCGATGGCAGAGACTGATTGCCTCATTTCTGTTAGTATGCTCTAGGGCAGCTGTGGCTACATGAGTAGTTCATAATCAGTGTGTACAAAGTTAATGAACAATGGAATTAAAAAATTTGCTGTTTAAAACCTTTTTTTTTTTGGGGTCTTCACTAGAGCGATGTCGTCTCCCGGCATGGGCACCCCCAGTGACCCGCTGCTGGCCAGTCCAGGGGGGAGGCTGCCCTCGGCTCAGGACGGAGCGTGGAGGTGCTCGCTCCCCAAGACCGCCAGCTTCCCCAGTTCCACCACACGCCACCTCAGCCACCGCGCCAACAACTTCCAAAGACAACCCAAGCGGCGCAAGCTGATCCGGCCATCGCCACCTCCTCCGCCCAACACGCCCTGCCCCCTGGACCAGCTGGACCTCAGGGACCTACCCCCGCGCCGCACCTTCCAGGAGCTGCTCTTCAATGGCTGCGTCCTGTTCGGGATTGAGTTCAGCTACGCCATGGAGACAGCCTACGTGACGCCTGTGCTGCTGCAGATGGGGCTGCCCGACCAGTTCTACAGCCTGGTGTGGTTCATCAGCCCCATCCTAGGTTTGTGTGAAGAATTTAGTTCATTTCAATTAAATTTACTTTTGCGTAGCCCTAAATCACAATCACAGTAGTTATCTTTGAGGACCTTACAAGCTGTCAACTCGCCAAAACAGATCAGAGAATCAAACAGTTCAAACACAGGAAATGCAATGATAAAAAAAGAAACACATAGAGCCATAGGTCCTTTAGGGCCAGATGAACAATGTCCATATTTGTTGATAAAGTCCATACATGTCGTCGAATGTCAAGTGTCCTGGATCATCACCACTGTCCTTAGATATTTGAATATTCCAATTTTACAATCAAAACCAAACAGTTTTATCGTCCAGTGCTCACATCAGAGGAAAAAGTTCATAAAATAAAAGTACAACCAAAGTCACACGAGGGATGACACTTTGCAAAATGACAGCAACACTGAAGTGTTTACCTCCAGAGATTGGGCTTTTAAGGTTAAGGGTAAGGTACTCTTTGTTTAAATATCCTCGTAGAGAATTTTGTCCTTTGCATTTGACCCATCCTGCAAATGCCAGTAGGGCGTTTGTCAGGCCTGCCGAAGTGGTCTCCCAGGAGCCCATCTCCAACCTTTTGTACACATTTTATTGAAAGGAGAAAGTGGAGCACCTGGAGGAAACCTGTGCAGACATAAGGAGAACATGCACAAAAAGGATATTGTGATTCCCTCTGGTCCTGGATGCACTGCACAGTGTCTTTAGAAAAAAATCTGACCCTTTATATTGATACGTTCCTGTCTTCATGTGTAGAAAAGCCGACAAAAGTTCACACAACGTGCCACTGTTTCCCGCTGTTGTCAGAGGTTGACATGGAATATATCAACGCAGGTCAAAGAACATGGAACATGAGACCTAAAAATACTGAATACAGTCTGAACAGTATGAAAATGCCTAATTTTACAATTGGTTGTGGCTTAAGAGTCGCATTCAAATGGGGCCTGTGTTGGAATAACACTCATATGTAGCCACAAAATACCAAATGCCTATATTAGAATGAACTTTGTAATGTTATAATAAAGGTGCTTGTAACATATGATTTGTCTTTGTCCTCTTTGTCTGCAGGGTTTCTGGTTCAGCCGCTCATCGGAGCCTGGAGCGATCGCTGTACATCTCGATTTGGGAGAAGAAGACCTTTCATTTTTGCTCTTGCCATAGGTGAGACCACTGCATGATAATAGATGAGAAATGGTGAATATATGGGTATAGTAAACTAACGAACTTGTACAGTCAAAGTGCTATGTATCTTTATTCTTCCTTATGTTATATCATGGTAAAACAACACAATTCTCTATGACATATATTTATTTTAAGTTGTTAATATTGCGGTGTGGACTGGCTTCTCCTCAGGCTTCCTTTCTTTGGCTTAAGTCAGGACATGCTTACGTTAATTGCATTATATTTGGCCTTATGACATGAATGTGGGTGTGCATTAGTGTCACGCCACTCACCCATACAACAACAACACAGTATACTTTGACCTCCGGAAGGCATTTAGAGCCATCTGTTCATCCTCCATATTAACCCATTGTGTTTTTCCTCAAAGAAAGACAAAGTGATACAGTATTAAGTAACATGATATCCTCCTACTTCCCCCATTACGTCCACTTGAAAGCTCTGACTGAAACCTCATACCCACAGCTATCAAACTAATGCTTGTTTATATTTCTGTACATTTTACGCAATGGTTTATTATTTGAAAAAAGAAGTCCCAGGTCTGAAAACTACAGAGGCATATTAGAACAGACATTTGGCCTGCTGTTCATGCAAGTGTATTTTTCCTAATGGAACAAATATAATTTACATATACTGTCTTTTTTTGTGACAAAGTAGATATTTTTGCTGCAGAGAGGACATTGTTTGGTTTGCAACAACTACATCACTGCAGTTCTTGCCATCTGCTAATCGCAACTTGTCAAATTCTATTTAGATTTGTTCAGCTATTGTAGTGAGACACAACAATTTGTTTACTGTGAATGACTGATGGTGTGGGAGGGGCGCATGTGGCATAATGAGTATCCAAGGTTATATCTCAAGGTTATAAGGCAGTCCTTTGAATTACATTATCAAGTTGAATTTCCCATCGCAATTTACAGTACAGTGACCAGGCCTCATACTGCAAGTTTGGCCTCGCTTAAGATATTTTTAAGGATACTGTATTAATGGACATTTTGGACATTGGTTCTACTGCCCCCAACGGACCTAATTTCTATGTCATAGTTGCACACATGAAAGCAGAAATAAGAGCACTCGAGTTACGCACACATCAAACATTATTTAAGATATTAGATAATAACTTTGAAAATGTAAAAACATTTTATTTATTTTTTTATGTGTAGACTCCCAAAACATAACAGCAGTCATCTCGAATGACTTTGCAAAGTTGCTGAAGAAATGCAACAATAACAATCATAGGGAGCGTGACGTTAATAAATGTCCTTGAGACCCTTCTGAATCGACAAGGAACCACTCAAAAACATGAAACCACTAAAAAATATGTAGATGAATGGCCAGCCTGATGCTTAGATGAGACTGTGAGTAATGCAGAGTGCTGTGGTTGGCTGCAGGGGCGCTGGTGGGCCTCACGCTGGTGCTGAACGGCCGGGACATCGGGGCTCTCGTGGCCGACACGGCGCTGGATCACAAGTGGGGAATCATCCTGACCATCTGTGGTGTGGTGCTCATGGACTTCAGCGCTGACTCCGCCGATAACCCCAGCCACGCCTACATGATGGACGTGTGCAGCCCGGAAGACCAGGACCGAGGCCTGAACATACACGCACTACTGGCAGGTACGAGGTCAGGTTAAAAAGGCAAGGATTGTGTTTTAGTAGATAGAGTGATAGATACTTTATTGATCCCCATAGAAAAAATCCAGGTGTCTAGCAGCAGAAACACATCCATCCAAACAAACATATAAATACATAATTCTAAAAGTAACTAACAATTGTATTAAAGCGCAGCAGCACTTTAGGTCACAGCAGCAGAAATGGTGTAGTCCCTGGTGATGAGCTGCTTCCGATCTTCTGGTGGATGTCTGCAGTCAGTATTTTCTCTGCTTTGGTTCAGAGTGAAATGCTCTACGCTTTATTTGCATTTTTTTTTTTTAAACATTCCTCCAGTGGATTTCTGCTTGATCTGCTTGGTTTGGACCGTGCTTCCTCTCTGATCTCTGGTCTGGATCAGTGTAAAACCATGAACACTGTACAGCTGCAACATTTACTGATAGAAAAAAAGTGAGCAAAATAACAATTGTAAAGGTAGTATGTTTAAAGCTGGTATGTAAATTCTTCTCTTTTGTAGATTGTACAGCCTTGTAAAAGTAAAATGTTGGAAAAAAATCAAACCCCAACATGCTGCCTTCATTTTTATGTTATCCTGAGCAAAAGAAAGAGCTCTGTGAGTCGCTATTTGACACTTTGGGTTGAGAGCTGATTAGTGAGGCCGCTTCTTAATCGTTCCTTTTTCACTTTTTGGTCTGAAAGATGTGACAGACAAATGAAATGAAATGAAATGAAATTGGGAATAGAACCAGACTGCTTTGAACTTGTTAGATGGATTTTATTACATGGTTAAATGTTGTTGTGGTTTGAAAGTTTGGTACCCCAGCTTTAGAGAATACACATTATACACGTTTGATTCAACATTAGAATATTTACGTTTGGCGTTTGATGTTTAACACTGTGGAATAACTTCTAAAGAAGAAAATGCGTCTGAATTGCAATGCAGACCAGGGGTGTCAACTTTCCTTCTGGAGATTGCATCTTCTCTCAGTCTCTATAAAGTTATCTAGAAGTGGGGACATTAAAATATGATGTATGAATTTGACCAGTAGGTAAAAACAGTTACAAAGGTACCTAGCTTCCAACAGTTATAAAGGTACCTGGCTTCCAACTGTAATAGGAATCAACTTTATGAACAGAACCAGTTGATATAACATTGTTGAAAGTTTAAAAAAGGTAAGTGGAAGAATGTTTGTTATATTTCCCATCTCTCCTCACTCCTCCCTCTCTCTTCCATGACTTCCAGGTCTTGGCGGTGGATTCGGTTACATCGTGGGCGGGATCAACTGGGACCAGACGCAGTTCGGGAAGTCGATGGGTGGTCAGCTGCGCGTCATCTATCTTTTCACTAGCATCACCCTCGTCTTCGCCACCTCCATGACTCTCTTTAGCATACCAGAGCGCCCACTACCAAAGACCCAAGCCAACAAAACCTCCAGCAAAAGCCACATAAAAAGCCCCAGCCTCCCTCTACCGCTCTCTCCCCCGGTTCCGCCCGGATACGACGAAGACGAGGGGGAAGGCCTGTACAGCTACAACTTCGCCAACTCGCACAATTCGGATCCAATGGCGCACAGCTGCAGCGCCAATGCCCGGCTGTGCGCTGGTCTCACTAGCCCCATTTCGCCCATGAGTCCGCTCACGCCCAAATATGGAAGCTTCATCAGCAGAGACGGCTCCATGACGGGAATAAACGAATTTGCCTCGTCTTTGGGCACGTCTTACATTGACAGAGTGTTGATAGACTGCTACACCGGACAGCCCACGCCCCAAAACCCGGACGCGGCTGGGTTCGACGCTCTCCAGGGCGGCGCCGTCCAGTCCGCAGATGAGGCATGTGTAGCCGGGCAGGAGGCCGGAGAGAATGTCGTTGTTTTGGCGGACGAAGCGATGCAGTGCGATGGCGCGGTGGTGGTTTGCGATGAGACAATGCGACAGAATGGGGCAGGGGGCCACAGAGGGTCCATTCTCAAGAGACCCCAGAGTCTGGCGCTGATAGAAGAGCCGTGCGCCACTCAGAGCGTGGGGCTGGAGAACGGACGGAGGAGGACTGTCACCTTCAGCCAACAGGTCGGCAGGAATGGGCCTGTTCTTTCAAAAAAATATAAGCTATTTTTTGTAAAACTTGTGTACACATTCAACACAAAAAAGGATGCTTGATTAAATTAAGTTTGTATTGGTGCAGCATTGAGGGTAGGAGTGACCATAGCCTGTTTTTCATCATATATGTTCTCAATAAAATACGCAAATTCAATGTATTCTAACATTTTAACCCAACACATATTCAGAAGTTATTGGAAAGTATTCCAGAAGTCATTTTTTTATTCGGCCCCTGACCAAAATGCAAATGACAAGTAAATAAGAGCACTCAGATTGCACACATCAAACAGGGTCTATTATTTAACATTATATATAATAAACTTAAAATATTAGTAAGTAGTAAGATGTCATAAAAGAATGAAAAAAAAAATCTGGAGCTATATTTTCACTTGGTTCACAGACGCTATTTTGGCTCCAACTACTCTCACTCAAACAACTCAGAGTTCAACCAAAGTTAGTTACCCCAGCTCTAAATAAATATGGAACTAATAATAATAATAGTAGTACACATTCTAGATACTCATGGTCACATAATAAGTAAAAAGGACACTTAAAGACTGTACAATGTAAAAAAACAGCATGAAGACTATCTTCTGTGTCAGACAAATTGTAAGGTAACGGTGGCATTACCATGAGATGTTTCCACGGCAACCTCCATCTTTTTCAAATGTCCTCTGTGCAGTGACACTCACACAAAGCGGTCACATTGGCTCCATAAAGCTCTGTGTGACAGCGGTGATTTCGTCTTGCCAAAGTAACAGTAAAATTATACCACCACATCCTGTCTTCATCTCTTTGGAAAACATTTTATCTTTTGCACTATTTGACACTTTTCTGCCTGAAAATGTGTTCTAAAATTGTGACAGAGGCCAGAATTACATGCACGTGTAAAAATAATGTTAGAACCAAACTGTTTTGAGAGCGAGGATGTGGTTTGAAAGCAGACATGTAAATCTATATGTACACCAGGGAGGATTTAAAGTTAGGAACGATATACTAATTCATCTTTCTGATTTTTCAAATATAAGTATGTTACTCAGTATGGTTTTCTATTATTATATTACAGATGTTATGACTGCTCACAAACCTGAATTTATTCAGTGAGTGGTCTCCATAAGTCACCTGGTGATGTCACAAGTAAGTGACAGGCCATAGAGGTTGAACAAGGCAAATTTAACAACTGCAGCATACAACTTTGGTACAATTTGTGAACCAAAATCTATAATATGGTTATTTATCTTAAAATTGGGTACATGCATTTGATTTAAATTTGAATAAAAGGTGTAGGTGCATCTCAGGTCTTGTTCAGTGAGGGAAGGATGGAGGGTGACTGATGCGGACTCTTGTGAAAAGGGAGCAGCGTGTGCAGGCAGAGCTCTCAATTTACCAACAGATCTACTGTACATTCGCACCCTCACTTCTGGTCATGAGCTTTGGGTAATGACTGAAAAGACAAGATTGTGGATACAGTCAGTTGAAATGAAATTCCTCCATGGAGTGGCTGGGCGCTCCCTTAAACAATACAGTGAAGAGTTTGCTGCATCCTCACATAAGGAGGGCCCCGGGGAAGACCCTAGGACACTCTGAAGGGCAGGACTATTTTTGGTCTCTCAGCTTGTCTGGGAACGTCACGAGATTCTTCTGAGCTAAAGAAAACATAAATGATCTTTGTTTTTCAATTGAGCGCGCAGACTGCTGCCCCCATGATTCAGCATTGGATAAAGCAGAAGAAAATGAATAAAAGAGTATTTGAACCTGTAATGGCCAGTTATAATAACGGTTTGTTTGGGTAAAAGCTTCTCCTGTACTTCCAGTCCTGTTGAGTCCAATTTATACATGCTTTTGCCTTAGCACTAATTCAGTCGTAAGCAGTATCTGTGACCTCGGTCTTTGAAATGGCCCATATAAATAAATACACTTTCTTACATGTGTTCTGTTCTGTTTGTAGGTTGCCAATATCTTGCTGAATGGAGTGCGATATGAAAGTGACCTCAGTGAGAATGTGGAGACGGGAGAATCCCAAATGTCCATAAAGCTGCTGTGTATAGCCATCTACCGAATGCCTCCTTCTCTGCGGAGTCTATGCACTAATCATTTTTTGGGTAAGTATTTTGTTTTCATTTCATGGTATATGATAAAGCAAAAAACATTTATTACGTGTGCAATAAACTTCATATTTGAATAACTATGTGGCCATTAAAGAGGACATGAATTTGACTTTTCTCTGCATTTTTCCCTTGTTATTGAGTGCGTTACAAAGCACTAATAAAAACCGAATCCTCCGCTTGCTCCAATTAAACCTGATTAATAAAGACTCATGTAAACCCGTGCAATGGAGGTGTGAAAACCAGTCCATTTGGAGAAGCTGGTACAAACAGATTCTACTGCAGATTAGCTGCATGTAAACAAGTCAATGGGATTTCATCAGGAAGTGATGCATTTGAGTGCACAGGAAAAACCAGGCATATGTTTGTATCTATGTATTTGGACCGTGGATGTGTTACAGTATATAATCTGGACTGGGTATTGCTGGCTTAAAGTCGTCTCCATCATGGTATGGACAGATTTTCCCATAGACCTGAATGTTCATTGAAACAACTCGTCCTCAGCTTACAGGGAACCTACAGCTTTCACAAAAGTCACATTTTGTGGGGATTTAAGTGTCCCTTGTCATCTTGACCTTTTTTCATTTGAAATGAATGGGTTGGCTATAAATCCATAAACAAACTCGGCTCGCCCTGGTCCCACTCTCGCTTCGCAACGCTCACGTGTATATCTATTTATTTTACTTTTATAACTTGTTTGCACCATTAGCCAAAGAAGACCTAGTTTGTTTCTTCCTGATTCTTCTTCATATAGTAAGACAAAGAATGCAATGTTTTCATTAAAGCTGGGGTACCTAACTTTCAAACCACGAAAAATGGAACTCTGTAATAAAATCCATTTCACTTTTTCTCTCAGATAGAAACAGTTTGTTTCTATCACTAGTTTCACATTAATGCATTGTTGGCCTCAGGGCTCACAGGGCTCTTTCTTGCAAGTTGTAGTCACTCTTCAGTGAAATCTCCATGATCAAGTATAATACTTTGCACAACAATAATTCAGATATTTGAGGTTACATTGATTACACACATGGTTATTTTTTATTTTAATATTGATTTTATTTTTTCATTAAGTACTTTGAGTTGCCTTGTGTATGAAATCTGCTATACAAGTTAATTTGCTTGCTCGCCTTGTCATTCCCTCTGTCTTCAGGCTGGCTGTCTTTCGAGGGCATGCTGCTGTTCTACACTGACTTCATGGGGGAGGTGGTGTTCGAGGGAGACCCCAAAGCTCCCCACGACTCTGAGGAGTACCAGCGATACAACGCTGGAGTCAATATGGGCTGCTGGGGCATGTGCATCTATGCATTCAGTGCTGCTTTCTACTCAGGTGACAACAACAAGACATTTAAAGATAATGCATGGACTAAAAAGTACAGTCGGTTACAGTATGTTCATGCAACATCACACCAATCCAAAGAGTCCATAGTTTAACATTGTAGTGGAAGGTGAAAAATCCTTGCCGAAACTATGGAAACTGTCAAAAATCTTGGTTCCACATCTTCTTTGTCAGGACATTATAACTATGGTCTAATTATTTTCTAATTGAGGTGTCTAGAAGTGGTGACAATATTCAAAAACATATATGTCGACTTTGTGCATCTCATCACTAAAAAATGATGATCTGGGAAAACATTTTTCATTTTCAACATTTTTTCCCATAGACTTGGCAAGACTACACTAATATAAATAGTTAAGAAGTATAATACCCTAAAACACACCATGATACAAGTTCAATTAAATCCACATTAAATCAATTATTACCATTTATTATTTTACACATTCTACAAGTCCCACCTGTCCTTGAAGCACGTTGGATTCCCTAACCTTCTACTCTTGTAAAGCTTCTTCCTGTTTTGGTTGCAGCCATATTGGAGAAGCTGGAGGAGCGGTTTTCTCTGCGCACACTGTACTTCTTCGCTTACCTGGCGTTTGGTTTGGGCACCGGTCTGGCCACTCTCTCCAACAACCTGTATGTGGTGCTGTCCCTGTGCGTCACCTACGGAGTGCTGTTCTCCTCTCTATGCACGCTGCCTTACTCCCTGCTCTGCGACTACTACCAAAGCCCACAGGTACGCATGTCCGAGTATGTCTGAGTGTGTCCGAGTATGTCTGAGTATTTACTGTATGTGTGTGTCCTAGTATGTCTGAGTATGTCTGGTGGTCTGAGTATGGATGACTGTGTCCGAGTATGTCCGTGTATGTATGTGTATGTCCAAGTGTGTCCAAGCATGTCCGAGTATGCATGAGTATACACTCACCGGCCACTTTATTACATACCCCTTGCTAGTACCGGGTTAGACCTCCTTTTTGCCTTCAAAACTGTCTTAATCCTTCGTGACATAGATTCAATAAGGAACTAGACACATTCCTCAGAGAGTTTGGTCCGTATTTGATAGCAACATGCAGTTTCTGCAGATTTGACGGCTGCACATCCATGATGAGAATCTCCTGTTCAACCACATCCCAAAGTTGCTCTATTGGATTGAGATCTGGTGACTGTGGAGGCCATTATGGTACAGTAAACTCATTGTCATGTTCAAGAAACCAGTCTGTGATGAGTTGAGCTTAATGATAAGGTATTTTATCCTGCTGGAAGTAGCCATCAGAAGATGGGTACACTGTGGTCATAAAGGGATGGACACGGTCAGCAACAATACTCAGGTGAGCTGTGGCGTTGCAACGATGCTCAACTGGTACTAAGGGACTCAAAGAGTGCCACATCATTACACCCTCACCACCGGCCTGAACCGTTGATACAAGGCAGGATGGATCCTGAGTGGATAGCACTCTCGCTTCTCAGTAAGAAGGTCCTGGGTTCGAATCCCGGTAAGAACAGGGCCTTTCTGAGTGGAGTTTGCATGTTCTCCCTGTGTCTGCGTAGGTTTCCTAGGGGCACTCCGGTTTCCCCTACCACTAAAAACATGTACAATAGGTCTAGCATGCGCCTCCTGTACTGGCGACCCCACTCCCATCTCTGTGTGGAGTGAGAGAGAAATACCCACAATTGTAAACCGCTTTGTGACTCTGGTCTGTGAAAGGCGGTATATAAATAAAGATTGCTTACTGACTTACTTATTGTCCCATTTCGGTGAGCCTGTGTGATTTGTAGCCTCAGTTTCCTGTTTTTAGCTGACAGCTGTTCAGACTGGCTCTCTTGCATACCTTTGTTGTAACAAGTGGTTTTTTGAGTTACTGTTGCCTTTCTATGAGCTCAAACCAGTCTGGCCATTCACCTCTGACCTCTGGCATCCACAAGGCATTTTCACCCACCGAACTACGGCTCACCTGATATTTTCTCTTTTCCGGACCATTCTCTGTAAACCCAGATGGTTGTGTGTGAAAATCTCAGTGGATCAGAAGTTTCTGAAATACACAGACCAGCCCGTTTGGCACCAACAACCATTCCACGTTCAAAGTCACTTAAATCACCTTTCTTCCCAATTCTGATGCTCGGTTTGAACTGCAGCAGATCGTCTTGACCATGTCTACAGCCTAAATGCATTGAACGGCTGCAATGTGATTGGCTGATCAGGAATTTGCATTGCACAAGTGGAGTTGGATATGTGTACCTTATAAAGGGGCCGGTGAGTGTATTGAGTATGTCAGAGAATGTCTAAGTGTGGCTGTGTTTATTTGTGTCTGAGTGTGTCCAAGTACGTCTGAGTATGTCTGAGTGTGTCTGAGTATGTCTGAGTATGTCTGAGTGTGTCTGAGTGTGTCTGAGTTTGTCCTATTATGTCTGAGTATGTCTGAGTATGTCTGATTATGTATGAGTATGTCTGGGTATACGTATATGAGTATGTCCAAGTGTGTCCAAGCATTTCTGAGTATGTCTGAGTGTTTCCGAGTATGTCTGAATATGTCTGAGTATATGTCTGAGTATGTCTGAGTAGGGGTGGGAACCTAAGGGTACCTCACGATACGATATGATACACAATACAAAGCTCACAATAACGATAATATCACAAAAACGATTTTTTCACGATATGACAATTATTGATATATCAGAAATATACAATATGCCAATTTCTGGCATAAATAAAAGAAAAAATACACTTTATTTCATGATAAATGGAATGGAAATGCGTAATGTAGCCATTTATTAAGTATTGATACCAATAAAAAAAAAAATGTTAAAAAAAAAAAAACATAAAAATCATCAAAATTGATGTTGATACTTGGCAAATGCATATCAATAATTGAATCGCGGGAGAAAGTATCGCGATCGTCACACCCCTATGTCTGAGTGTGTCCGAGTACGTAAACAATATTGCTCAAGAAAAGATCTCCATTGAGGAAAGGGAAAAAATACCAGCAACAAGTAATGAGATGGATTTTTGTTATTGACAAAAGATTTTCCACCATAATGTGCAATAAATTGCACATTTTATTTGAAATAGAAAAATCCCTTAGTCATTTTAATAATTAGTTTTTCTCTGTTTGTCTCTTATAGTTGAGGTTTACCTATGAAGAAAATTACAGTACCTGCACAATAGGTGGATGACGAATACTTTGTTGCCCCACTGTATGTGTGATTTTTCTTCTTTGAAATACAACTTTGTGTTTTTGTGTGTGGCAGTTCTGCGGCTCGTCGGAGGAGGGCACCAGGCGTGGGATGGGCGTGGACATCTCTCTGCTGAGCTGCCAGTACTTCCTGGCTCAGATCCTGGTGTCAGTGGCCATGGGGCCCCTGACCTCGCTGGTGGGCGGGGCTCAGGGCGTCATGTACTTTTCCAGCCTGATGTCCTTCGTGGGCTGCGCGTACTCGTCGCTGTGCGTGGTGTACCAGCTGCCCCCCCCTGAGGGTGAGCCCCCCGACAGCGAGACCCGGCCACTGCTGGTGCACACGTAGAAAGCAGCCATGAATAGTTTAAAGACACGTCACACAGTATTAGCTTTGCACATCCTGCCGCACACTGTACTGCACTGTAGCGATGTACAAGTTAAAGGAGAAATATTACGCAAAATCTACTTTTTGAGCTTTTTACCTTGTTACAACATTGTACAACAGACCTGTTTTTAGATTCACCCATATGGAGCTATTATTGTTTCAATAATATTTGTGTGTGCGTAAAAAGATTTGTGCGTGCGTAACCAGATTTGTGTGTGCGTAACCAGATTTGTGCGTGCGTAACCAGATTTGTGTGTGCGTAACCAGATTTGTGCGTGCGTAACCAGATTTGTGTGTGTGTAAAAGAAATATTTGTGCGTGTGTAAATAGATTTGTATGTACGTATCAAGATTTGTGTGTGCGTAAAAAGGTTTGTGTGTGCGTAGAAAGATTTGTGTGTGTGAAAAGAAAAAAAAAAGTAAGTTTTACACACAAGTTTTTTTTTTACACACGAATCTTTTGACGCAGTCCTGCCTTCGCAGATTCGCAAGTGTAACTTGGACTGTGTGCGTGCGTAAACAGATTTGTGTGTGTGTAATTTGACATTTGTATCTGTAACAGAACAATCTGTGTGTAAATAACCGCGTTGTACAAAGAGAAGAACGGGAAAAAGCCTAAGTGCTACGCACAGGCTCTGTTTTACACACGAATCTCTTTTTGACACACCTCTGCCGCCAAGCGTGTGTCAAAAAGATTTGTAAGTGTAATGTGGTTGTTCTAGCAGTACACCAGCAGATGGTGCTGTTGTAGCTGGTTATTACCTACACGCAAGCAAACCAACAAGTGTAGGTAGAGAAAACCGAAGGATTTAAGAAGAAGAAAAGTTCAGGATGACAAGGAACACTAAAATTCCCACAAAATCCGACCTTTATGAAAGCTGTAGGTTATCTGTCAGCTGTTTTAGTTTACTTTGAGTTCTATGGGGAAAATTTCTGTGTAGCCAACGTGAATTTAGTCTGCAGTACGTGAGAATCCTTCAGCTCCAAGCTAGTAACACCCTATCCAGTTATTATAATAGATCCATGTATCATACAGTGGTGTGAATGACAGGATTTTGAAAATAGGAAAAAAATATCATAAACAGCTGCGGTAGTGTGTCTTGTCAAGGCAGTAGGTTTTGGTTTGCTTGCGTGTAGGTAATAACCAGCTACAACAGCACCATCTGCTGGTGTACTGCTAGAACAACCACATTACACTTACAAATCTTTTTGACACACGCTTGGCGGCAGAGGTGTGTCAAAAAGAGATTCGTGTGTAAAACAGAGCTTGTGCGTAGCACTTAGGCTTTTTTCGTTCTTCTCTTTGTACAACGCGGTTATTTACACACAGATTGTTCTGCTACAGATACAAATGTCAAATTACACACACACAAATCTGTTTACAGTCCAAGTTACACTTGCGAATCTGCGAAGGCAGGACTGCGTCAAAAGATTCGTGTGTAAAAAAAAAAACTTGTGTGTAAAACGTACTTTTTTTTTCTTTACACACACACAAATCTTTCTACGCACACACAAATCTTTTTACGCACACACAAATCTTGATACGTACATACAAATCTATTTACACATGCACAAATATTTCTTTTACACACACACAAATCTGGTTACGCACGCACAAATCTGGTTACGCACACACAAATCTGGGTACGCACACACAAATCTGGTTACGCGCGCACAAATCTTTTTACGCACACACAAATATTATTGAAACAATAATAGCTCCATACACCCACCCCTTTATGGCACAACAGCGTAACTCTGCCCTATCTCTATAAAAAATCTCATGTTTCAGTCCTGTATAAGCATCATTAACTTTTTTCACACCCCGTCATTATATAACGTTTCAGGGGACATCACTTGCATTGTGACCAGATTTTTCCCCCACAAACTAATCAAAACTTTGAAAAAAAAAACTTCAGAGTGCAAGTTGATCAAGTTGAGTGCAAGCAAAAACTCCTGCAATACCCCTATAATGCACTAGAGGGCGCTGTAGGCAACAGAACAAAAAACATGTAGAGCAATATTATGAAGTATTCTTCTTTTAGTATAGATAATAATGATTGGCTTCTATTTTCTATTTCTGAGACACTTCTGCTAGCTTTTAGCCATTAGCATTGGGACAAAGCAGACATAAGGAGTTCTCTTTTAGGGACATTATGACATCATTTTACAGGTACACCTTTGCTCTAAGTGTTCAAGGCAGAAGCTGATCACACCACAATTCTATTTTGAGACTTTTATGAAAAAGTCGGTCACCTGGACAGAGGTGGCAGGGCTTCGCGTGGAAAAGGTCAATGATTTCTGCCTTTTAAATTCCATATTCCAATTGCCCATAAATTATTGACATTTTCAAAAGTTTTCAAATTTGAAGAAAACATAACAAAACTAATTATAAACCACCCTCTGATGATAGCACAGGGAGTTTCAGGCCGATAACTTTTTGGATTCTTTCATATTTGATAAACCAAACATAATGCGTAATGTTTCTTCTTTAAATTCAGCAAAGGCGCAGAGACAGACAGACATCGGCCGCTGTGTGTCAGTCTGTTCCTACAGTGTGTGAGCTTCATTTAGGATGAATGGACACCTGGGCTATTTCATAAACGCGCTCAGCTGCAGGGCTCACACACAAACACAACATTGTTTAGGCTGAAGCGGCGAAAAAGAATGTTGTCGAGATAAGACGCACAAGGCATCCGCAAAGCTTTGTGAAATAGTCCTTCAGTCTGTAAAAAGCATTTTCACAGTCTCCGTGTCACATTCAGCACTAGCATTTTCGTCTTTTAGTGGTTAAAGTGCACATGACATGGTTGAATTATGTCTTTTATCATTAGATTTTGCTAAAAGAAAAAAACTTGAATGTTATCCCAGCTTGGCAATTGTTTTATAATATGAATCTATTATTTTAATAACTGGATAGGATAAACTAGCTGAAGATGAGATAAGATTAGAGAGCTTTTATTGGTCCCACAGTGGTGAAATTTCATTGTTGCAGTGCACATACAGGACAGTACTACAAGAGCACACCGGGAGCTCACAAAATATACAATATAAGTAGCTGCTATGTTTTCAAGCACCTCATTTTTGGGACAGCTAACATTCTGCATGCACCGATGAGCATGAGCAGCTTTTATGGGCTGCCATCTTGAAAACCCGGGGCCTGTTTTAGATTCATTGTTTTTCTTCCTGGTTGCAGATGATGACATTGCAGGAGGAATGTTATCGACAATCTTGCTGTACAGTATAATGGCCCAAAGTACACAGAGATGGAAAAAAAATATAAGATTCAACGTATTAGTACTTTTGAAAGTACTTTTGATTTGTTTTACAGAAAGAAACGGACAACTTCAAAGTGAAAGCAAAATGATACGTGATTTTGTTATTATTCAAACAATAGAAAAGTGAAAGTAGGGAAAATACTTTTCTTCCAATTATGCCCTGTATTTTGCTCCATCCACCTTCCCATCAACTCCGTCACTCTTGACTGTCCCTGCTGAAGAAAAGCAGCCCCATAACATGTTGCTGCCAGCCCCATAGTTGACACGGGGTAATGGTGCACTGAGGGAGATGAGCAGCGTTAGTTATGAGCCAAACATAACATTCTCCAATTTGATTACAGAATCTTCTTCCACATGAGGAAGAAGATGTACTTTGCCTTTTGTGGCTTTATTTCAACACTGGCTTTCTATTTACCACTCGTCCATAAAGAACCAGATTTCTGTTGTGTATGACTAATATTTGGCCTATATACCGATTCCTCCAAATGAGCTGTGGGCGTGTTTGCTGCTCCTCCATAGTAATCGTTGGCCTCGTGTCTGCATCTGTGATCAGTGTTAACCTTGTTGGAGCTGTGAGTTTGGGTAGAGAGCAGGGTCTTGGTAGATTTGTAGTCGTGCCATACTCTCTCCATTCCCAGATGATGGATCAAACTGTTCTCAGTTCAATGCCTGGGAACTGTTTGTCTAATCACCGAACAATGCTTTGAATCGTTTCCACTTCCTCCCTGACCTCTCTGGTGTGCTCCCTGGACTTAGTGATGCTGTTAAGTGCCCGATACTCTCTGACCATAGCTCTGAGGCCCTCACAGAACTATACTGAGAGTTGGTCACACTCAGGTGGCCTCTTTTTAATCCTTTGGGCAAGGTGTGAACATTCAATAGTCATTAGGAATGTTTTAAAAGAAATGTATTACACTCAAAGCCAACCATTTTTTTATGTTAATAATAGCAAAGTTGTTTATCATATTGCTTTCACAGTTGTCTGTTACTTATGTGTGAACATTCAGTGCAAAAATGCAAAATCTCTGTGTTCATTTTTGTATGTTTATTTACTTGAGTAGATAATTAAAGTCTCATAACAATTAGTTTGTTGTAGTTTTGAACTTTAGAAGGAATCTCTCTGCTGTGGTGTCATAATTTCTACAACTCTTCCCTACTTCCTGTACATTTTAGCCTATTTTAAAGTAATATTTTACTTTATAACAAGTTCCATTTCACCAGAAAAAGTCAAAGTGTGAAAATCCTAAAAACCTGTCATTTGTACATTTTCTGTTTGAATCTTCAACCTGCTCGAAATAAAACCGGTACATTTATTATTGATTTACAGATAAAAACCTGACTTCTTACATTGGGTCGGCTCTCCCCTCTGCAGAAATCTTAGCTGAGTCACTTGTGTGTCTCAAAGTATCGATAGAAACTTTACAGCCAGCCATACAGTGGGACCCAGGAATGACAACATTTAGATGGACCCAAGCAAAATAGCAGATCCTCCACCAAGAAAGTTACTTCACAGTTGCATCATGAATGTGCCTGTCTTATTATAGATTTAATATACTGCATTATTATAGATTTAGATCAGTAGATAACCGCACATCTCCCGCGGGCGTGTTTTATGGAATAGCCCTTTGAAGTATATGAGGATGTGTGAGAAACCAAGTCTTGCCGTTTTTTGCCATAAATGTTCTTGTTTTGAACCATCACTCATTGTCACTGAACATGTAAATGCATGAATTTGTAAAGTGGGCTGTTTGGTTTTGGTCATTAGGCCAACGTTCTGTCGCTGCCTGTGTCACTGAGTTAGTTGCACCTTAGTCGCATTTCTAACCACATCGATTGTTCTGGCACCACCACTGGCAAAGGTCCTCTTGAAATGATATTATAGGAGCTGTTTTGCACTGCATTTAAGTCTTAAACATGACTTAACTGGAAAAATGAACAATGATATGAGGTGGGTAGAGTTGTAATGGTAACACAGTCATTATGGTCGTCATTATTTATTCTTGCGCTTTGTGTGACCTCGGTGTGTGATCACTGCTATATAAAGATTAGTTTCTTACTATAGCAGGGCTCTTTGAAAATAAAAAGACTGCCAAGGTCGGTTTCAGGTTCTTAGGTTTTATAGTCCCATTCCAAAGTGCCAACATTTTTAAACACATATACAGGAATGAAATGGAGGCTCAGCTCAAAAAATAGAAGGAAAAACAAGTTTACCAATAATTCATTCATTTATTGGTCATAAGTAGACAGGCTGAGTTACCTTCTCTTTTGACGCTGACTGAGATTACCCACTCTCACCTCTGGTCATGAGCGCTGGGTGATGACCGAGCAAGATTATGAATACATGTGTTCAAAATGAGTTTCCTCTGCAGAGTGGCTGGGCGCTCCCTTGCGGCCCTTACACACCGCAAGCACAGTGAGAGACGCACGCCTCTCCTCGGCAGAGTAGACAAGATAAGATAAGATACAATGAGATAGACTTTATTGATCTCACACAGGAGAAATGTGGTCACGTGGCTGCATACACACCAGCAGAGTGTGTTTCGTCTATGGAGAAGTGTAGAGGGCCGTACAGGCCAGGGGACTGACGTACAGCAGCAAAACTGATGAAGATGCGAATGTTTGTTCTCATGGTCTTTGGCTGGTGTGGGCAGACGTGGGAAGACTATATGAAAAACAAAAACAACGTCCAGAATCATTGTCAAACCTGCCAGTCCTCCTTCTAATGTTTAAACTCAAGTGATGTGGTGTGTGGAGCTGATTTTGTGCCAAAGACTGTTAGCACAAGCATCTTCTCCATTCATTTTGACAGAAAGGCACGTCACTTTGCACTAATCTGATCTGTTTCCCCGCGGCACACTATGTGCGTCTCTGCGGGAGTCTTTCCGCTTCAAATGATGCATGTGGTGTATAGGGGCTGTTAGAGACAGGCTGAGGAGCTAGGTCACACTGGAAGAGCTTGAATTAGAGCCGCTGTTCCCTCGGGATGGTGTTCCAGGCACATTGGAGGGACTTTTTCTCTCAGTCGGCCTTGGACGCCTCGGTATTCCCCAGAATGAACTTAAAATATGTTCTCACTCAATAAAAATAAAAAAGTGACATTTGCGTAACTGTAACACGTGTGCATCCTGTAGAGGGAGCTCCATGGGACTCCAAATCACTTTCTGTCTATTTATACTGACCTGAGCTATACCATATGTATATCAACAACTACATGTTAATGTTCAAATGTGTATTTGAAGAAATCAGTGATTATTTTCGTTCTCATCTCAAAGTTGCTGGACACAAATAGACAGACGTTCCCTGCTTTTATAGATAGGTAAACCTACAACAAACACCCACCTCAACAAAGCACCGGCAAAAATGTTTAAGTGTGAATTTGGTTTAAATCACTAACATTAAATATAAACACACAGTTGGCATATTGATCCTGGGCCCTCACTATGGAAACGCCTTGTGCACTGCCCCCTGCTGGCGAACACCTGTAACCACAGTCATTCTTGTCATTATCAGGAAGAGGAGAAGTTGAAACTGGGGTCTGATTCTGCGTTCAAAACTCGAGAGGACGAGACGACGGGTGCAAACTATGGACAGCTACAAATCTGTGGGGGTTTTCAAAACAGCCAGCACTTTTTCTCTCATCATCAGGGCGCATGCAAGTAGTCGGCTTCTCCCAACACACAGTTTACAGATTATTTTTATATTTTATTTATCAAATTTCCATCTTTTTTTTGTGCTACTTCTGTTGAGATAAAACAAGAATATGAGTTTCTTTGTCAGGGCTTGAACGAAGAATAATTGTGTATGTTATGAATGAGCAGTGGTTGGGACTGGGACACATTTGATGATAACTGCTGCATCAGCCGAATGTCATAATAATAATAACAATAATAATAATTATAATTGCCTAAATGGACGTGAAGCCTTTTGGAGCCGCTCATGTATCGGAGGAGACTGTGACTGTATGGATCATGCAGCTTGCTTACAAACTGTTCATTACTTGGTATCACTTATTAAACTTGCTCAATATTAGCAGTGCTATTGTACAATGCCATTTCATAAGACTCAAGTTAAAATGACTTTTGCCTATTCCGTCTCTTGTCGTTTTTCTAAAACAAGGAAGTTTACAGGTGGAATTTAATACTGTTCAATTGTTTTTGTTTTGTTTTAAAAATATTAGACCAACTGGAGAGGACTCTGAATATTTGAATAGCTACTATGTAGCTCTTCAAATAACTATCTATCACCACTTTAAAATCCAAGTGTTGCAGTGATGATATTTATATATATAAACAAGATTCAAATATAATTGACTTAAAAAAATAAAAATAAAAATAAAAACTGGGAAACTAAATATTAAACATTTTGTTTGTCCCAGGAGAAAAAGTTTTGAAAGTGACGTATTACCATTTCAAGCTTTGTGCTGATTGGCTGAATGAGGCTGGTTCTCTTTTTCATCTCTGTTCCCACAAAAGCAAAAATGTGTTTTGAGAGAGAACTTGTGAGATAAATTGTACTAAATCATTTTTTTGTCATTTTGTAAGTTACAAGTGGGGTCTTCCTTTAGATTTGTATTTTAAAACTTTACTTTTGATTTATTTCAACTTAAAAAATCTATATATTTTCTTTTCTAAAAAAAAAAAAATACTCTGGCAAAGTCACTGCATCTTCTGCAAAGATCAGAAAAAAGTGAATATTATTTGCTTGATTTCAAATCGAAAGTGTTTATAAATGATAAGAACCTGAAAATGTTGTTTTTCCGCCTTTACTTCGTTGTCAGTGGGACATGTTGTATTTGATACATCCTTCAAGATTAATTCCACTAAAGCAGGGGTGTCTAAACTCAGGCCCGCATTTTATTATATTATATTATATTGCCCTGCCTTGATAACCCTCATCGATATCATAAACACAACTTCCGTGTTATCCAGCCAACTTCAGCTCCACCAACAAAGGCATGCTATACCTCGTTGTAAAGCTCAGAATTCAGTCATTAACTGTATTTGTAAATGCTGGTATGTCTCTTTATATGGTACATCATAGACTATTATAAAGCAGGTGGTCGGCCCCAGGACAAAAGCCTGATTAAAACTAAAGTGGCCAGGTTACTAAAAGGTAACGTCAGGAGCAGTGGTCACTCCAGCGCAGCCAGTACAGTATGTTGATGCTCTTGGTCAGGACTTTGCTGGAGGATTGTTGCATGTATTGGGTGGTGGGGTAGACCGGAGCACCTGGAGGATATCTATCCAGACTTGGGGGAGAAAACATGCCAACTCCAAACCGAATGGTCTCATCATGGCTAAAACATTTTACACATGCAGGAAGAACTTATATATCATGATTATATGGATGAATACAAAACATTTCTTCATATTGTCTAATAGGATGTTCATTTAAGTTCTGTCCAATCTGAAAGTCACTATAAATCATGTTTCACTTTTATTGTTTTTGATCAGGGAATTGAAAAGTATTTGAGGTGCACAGCTGCATACAAATCTCTAGACGTCTCTGCATCGGACTAAACACTTTCATTAGTTATAATAGTTCGACCTTGATAGTGTCATAAATAAACCCTGAAGACCTTGAACGCGCCTGTCTGTAGTGCTTCAAACCCCCCACACGATGGCGCCACAAGACAAACATGAACCAAACCCACAGTATAATAAACCACTGCGTGTCATGGGAACCGCCTCTGTCATTACCAAGATTACTCCCTTTATTTTCCAGTGAAGATAAACTAGGTCAAATGACATCCATTCTTTACAACAAAGCCCCATGAGCGTTCACAATAAGAAAAAGCAACCAGACATAACATACTTAAAAAGACAAATTTATTTTTTCAGAATATACAAAGCAGTGGCTGAAGTAACCGAATGTCATTCTGTTTTTTTTTCTCTTTTTGTAAAGGCAGTCTGGGATACAGAACTGGGCTACGCAGCCAGGAACATAAACTTGTCAGAACAAAAAAAACATAGTAAAACAAAAATATAAACTCGCGTGGAATGCACACAGAACATATCACCAAAGCGGTAAGATTTAAGAGGGGTTAATATGAACAAAGTGAAATCTTACTAGTGCTGGGCCGACCGAACAAGACCCTGTATTCGACGATTATGTTAACAAGGCAAGGATCTACTAGCAGATTAACACGAAATAGATGCCCAATTTAAGATTATTATTATTACCCCTGCTTAAAACTTATCTTTGGTCTGTACATGAAAGATCAACATGAGCCTTAAAGTAGAATGGCAGCTGCCTGTGTATTAAACGTGGATCCTCTGGTCAGCGCGGACATAGAGACTGTGCTCCTTATAAGAAAACTGAAGTAAAAACTGCTCTCTTGGTGTGGCCCTGGTTTTTAGCACAAGTAGGAACGAAAGCTTGTTTTAAAGACCAATAAATAACATTTTATAAAAAAAAAAGGAGTTTAGGCCACGGGCATGTATTTTTTTTCCAGGACTCCAGTGCATTGTGTGAGCGAGGGAGCGAAATAAAACTGTTGAAAAATTAAAAGGAAATGTGGCAAGAAAAATGAACTCTCGGGACGGAAAGCACAAACTCTATCGGGCGATGACCAGGCTGGTAGAACGAGGCTGCAGAGAAACCAAGAAGCCGAAGTAGTGTAAGGCCGCGTGAACGTCTAGGCCTTAACCTCAGCCTCTTTTGAGTCTCCATTCTCTTCCTTCTTCTGTTTTTTTGTGTCTTCTTTCTCCTGAAAATGACACAAAAAAGAAATGAACATCAGCCCGAAGTAGCATACACAGTTAACTATAACATTGGGAGAAATATATTACCAAGTTTATTCACTAAATAGCCAAAATTTCAGCACACTGCAAACTACAGACGTTTCTGATGTCACACAACAAAAATAAAACCCTTCTCCCTTGAGTATGTATTAGTTTGGTTATTTAGAATGGCTTTTTCACATTTAGTTACTTTTATCTATCTTATAATTAATTGTTTATTTGAATATTACTGTATAAACTGTTGCATGTATGTACAACTCATGATGTATTTATTATTTAAAAAGACAAAAAAACTAAACACTATGCCGATTAAAAACATTGACAAAAGAATAAAAGTCTGAAAAAATTTGAATGTGAAGGCCGACCTCTTCATCCTCAGCTGCGCGCTTCACCGGTTGTGCTTCGGCTTCGTCAGCAGGGGGCGCCTCTTCACCGTTTCCTTCAGAAAAAGATAAAGACACCATTTTCAGACCAACTCAAAATGAACACAGAAAATTAGTCCTTGTTTCTAGTGTAACAAACTAGATATGGTTTTAAAAAACACGTGAATATCCACCAGCATCAACAATGAATTGTTAGTCAGAAAAGCGTTGGAAAAAGTACCTTCTCCATTTTTGTGTTCCTCCTCCTCAGTTTCCTTTACTTTGTCACTGTGGTCAGCACCGTTCTGCAAAACAAAAGAGGTAATGTGGCTGTGAATTCAGAATTTAAGTCACCACACACAGTGAAATCGTTCTTGTATAGAAGTTTAGCTGACTGCTGTGGGCATTTTTCAAATCCCAAATGCTCTTTCATCAAAAAAAATACACACAAAAGGCTGTATTAAAATAGATACAAAATAACCAATTCATTTTTATTGGCCCTAGCTGTGGTACATTGGATCTAAACTATCAAACAAGCCTTCAAAAGGGCCTTCAATTTCACATGGTCAAACATGTGGCTACAGTAGTCAATGAAAATGACAAGAATGTTTGAGGAATGAGGCCTGTTTTGTAGATACAAATGCAGCCAAAACCACAGTGAAGACGAGATATCCAAAGTGGAGTTAGCCGTAACATCTGTGCCATTTCACAACCCAAACAAAGCGCATTGTGGGGAGAGGGGAAGGAGCGAAGTGGGGGGAGGCAGCAGCGACACCTGCATGATGTGGGATGAAAAGACAAAGGCCATGAGGCTCCGTAGGAGACACACTGTGGCCCCTGGAGCTTGTTAGGAGCCTTTTACGCGCACATAACACTCACTGTTCCATTGGCAGGTGCGTCACTGGTCTCCTTTTCCTCTTCCTTTTTGGTTTCAACTTCTTTCTTCTCTTTCAAATCCTGGAGACAAGAAAACGGGGAAATTAATAGGCTTAATTAGTGACAAAGTCGTGCGTGCAGTCACAGAATACGCGTAGTGGTTGAAATGTGGCGTGAATGGAAATAAAATAAAAAAAGTAGGTTTTTGTTTTTAGACTGATTTTTACAAAGAAAGTCGTGCGCTCTGCCGTGGAAGCCTCCATCCAAACCCGCCTAACCTTGCCAGTGCTTCCCGCCCACAACCTCTCACAAACCGGTATCTTTCCACGCCATTCACGGCTTTGTCTTAGCAGCTTGGGCTTCAAATACATTTAACTCAACGCACAGCTAGTTCAACACAACTTTCATAACATTTTAATTTTATTTTAAGGACGATCAATCCACACGCCAGTCGACTTCACACATTTTCCTCACGGTTGGACGGCCATTTGACTTTTTTGTGGCTTCAAAATTTGCATAAAAAAGCGAAAGGTGTAGGGTTCCTTCCAAACAGCAACTCAGAGTGATGATTTGCATTTAGTTGAACGAAAAAAAAGTTGGTGAGAATCTTTTCTTTTAAAACACGATTCCATCAAAATGAATGTAAATACACGCACCTTGGCTGTAACCTCGGTGGTCGCGGGGGTCGTTTCCACTGCAGCGTCGGCCATTGTGTGAAATTTCCAAAATAATTATATCCCTTTTGCGTTAAAAATGTAGATTAGTTGGCGCTTTGTGCGGGGAGAAGCAGACGGTGCACTGACTCTTGATGGTGGGAGAGGAATGATGTCTGCTCTCACCGCTTTTTCTCAGCCCCCTGTTCAAAATGCACTGGGGTTGGATGGAGCTCTCAAACTCGCCGCTCATTGGCCCAAACCCGAGTCTATCATTCTTTTCAGTCCCGCCTACCGTGTAAACCAGCGCTGATTGGCCACTGGGTTTTTAAAGATCTTTTTGCTCCCCATCACCTTTCGGCTTTCCCACCAAATGTTCAACAATGGACGAATAAAGTTTATTTTGTAAGTATATTCCCCAAGCAAGATTAAAAAGGCAACACGTTAGCTTGTTTTATCTCCCCAACCTAAGTTACACGCCTATTCCTTGGCATGGGTGGCTATGCTAGCAAATGTTTGTCATTAAGACATCTTGGCTGCATCCAAATTCACCTCATGCAGCAAAGTCTTGTGTTTTTAATTGGCTTTTTAGGAAACATGGTAGCTCCAGGTTTGGGCAAGTTAATTATAATAGTTTATTTAAATACTTTTGAATTAAGGTAAGTAACATTTTATGCCACAAAGGTCAAATAAAAGGGAGATTAAGGAGGTGTTGTAAGCTGAATTCGGATTTATGATTTTTTTCGCTTATAGCATGGATCTATTTTATTAAGGTTATAGTTAGAAAGAGCAATAGGGTTATAATTAAGACTAAAACAAGTTGAATTGGTGAAGTTTAAGGCTTTGGCAAAGAAGTAAGTTTCGTGAAAATGGCGAGACGTTTTAATATCAACTCCTTAAGGCGCCATCTTTTGTATGTATGTGAGTGTGTTTGCTTTCTTTCCAGCAACGGTGTCAAATTACAAGAAAAAAAAGCGCTAAAGTGACGACTTGAAAGCCACAAAGCCCCTCCTCCTGCTATATTTAACTTTCACAAAATGTGCTCTAAAGTCTGTGTATCTGTCTCACTGACTGGGCTGTGTGGTGAGGAGTGCAGACTGTAAAGGAAAGCAAAGTTTTTATGATTCCATTGTTGAAGCAGAGTTGAGACAAAGGCGTGTTTGTCTGGAGGCGACTCTTGATTAATGATTGCAGAGCTGTGTCAATGTAACTCAAATGCCATTCATATATTCGCCTCAAACAATTGAAATTATTGTAGTTACAAGGTGCCATCATCATAACTGATTCATAGAAGGCATCATGAACCACCAGCACACACAAAAGGGTTTTAACATTTTTAATATCAGATATAACAAACATTTTGTTGTTGCAGGAGGCATACGTCCATGTTTACAAGTTGATAAGGTGAGTTTAAGGGGATTTCTTAAAGCTTAGGTCCCTAACTTCAAATAAGATATGAATATTAGATGAATAAATCACTATATAATTGTAAGGATAAAGAAACACAACTAAAATATTTCCATTGAATCTATTGTTTTGATTGTGTTGTTTTGGATTTTATAAAATTAGTTCCAAAATATTACATAATTATTTATTCTATCAATCAATCAACTTTGATTTGTAGAGCGCCTTTCCTACACAAGTCAACACAAAGCCCATATCATATAAATTAAAAGTGTCTATAATTGTGAATATTCATTAAATCGTGGTGTTTTTCTCACAATAAATGCGACTGAACATTTTATATCATGTCATTCCTATTGTGAACCCAAAGATGACTGAAGTTGCTATTTTTACATTAGAATGCTTTAATGGCAACAGATCTCTAAAGTCAACACTCTGTCTCCATACACTACAATTGAGACTTTCACTTTCAGCCAGAAACTGTTTGTATGAGTCATTCTACAGTTAAACCAAAGGAAACGCAGCTGCTGTGACCCCAGGTTGATCAAGTCTCTGCAGCCGCTTTCTATTTCGTCAACAACTGTATTACTTACAATACATGTCCTACATATACCAGTTAAAGCGGGGGTCATTCACTTTCACAATTTAAACTTTGTAATGTGAATAACTAATTTCTAGCCCTTAAATTTGTTTTAAGATGTATTGTTGTATTGTATTTCTGGCCTCTGTCATATCTTTAATTCAGTATTTTCCAGACATAAAAGTTAATAACAAAGGACTGCCCTCACTCAGCCAATCAGATCTCAGCTCAACTGGGCTCTTTCTTATGAGTATCCAAAAGAAAAGATGAAGGACGCATGTTGAGGACTGATATGTTCCCAAAAATAATCTTTCTCACCATAAAGTGTTAGTAATGAAACAATCCAGCTTTAAACAACTAATTTGATACAATGCAGTTTTTGTATTTCAGATTTTGCATCACATTGAATCCAATTTTACATTTGTTTATGTTTAAAACGCTTTCCCCTGTCTGAAGGATGACAGGGTTCCATGTCATACACTGGGCAAAAATCTATACATTATTATTTGGTTTGACCACCCTCCCTCAGCCAATCAAAAATAGATACCTAGATTATTAGAAATGGTTAAATTCTTTACTGACTTCCTTTCATTTTGAACTATTTTAGCTTGAAGTTAAAACGCCGACCTCATTCGTTTTCCAAGCATAGTCTGCAGTGTCTTTGATGTGGCCACGTTTTCGCTGACATTGCATAAAGAGGCGGATATAGATCTGACAGGCTTGAACAAGGTAAGTATTCCATTTAATTTCTATTTCATTGAGACACATAAAACATACAAAACTGTCAACAACTAAAGACAAACAACATACATAGATTATTAATATATACATTTATTGTTCCTTTGGTGCCTAGACTTTAATAACATAGTTTTATCTCAATATTGAGATTTTCAAATGTGTTACTGATAGGAGCCATGTGCAGGGCCACCTTCAGGTACCCATTAGCTTTCAGTGCGAACCCTAAATGCCACAAAGAAGTGCCTGACCCTTCTTCAAACTATTGATTAACATGAATCTTGCATCTTGAAGAAAATGAATGAATGAATGAATGAATAAACAAACCGCAACAATAATACACTGCACGTTTTCAAACAATCTTCAAATACATCATACTAAATATACTAATACTAACTTCAGTTTCTGACTGTTTACTTTATCATTATAATTCGTTTTTCTTATTCAATGATCTGATTGGGCTGGCTTACTGCTGGTCCACATCTACTGAATACACTTACGTGTTACTGTATGTCCATAGCCTGCATATGCAGGAGATGGACAATGCTAACCCACTTGCTCAATGAAGCCCAATAGATCTGGCTTTTATTGACTTTCACTGAAAAGTAAATCCTGATATGAGCGAGACAAGGATAGAGCAATCAGGGGCAACTTCAAGCTTGCCTTACCAACTATCGTAGCAAAACACGTCGGCCTCTGTTTTGGTAGCTAACGCTGTCAAAAATTGGCTTCAGCTCGCTTATGTATAAATCAGCCTCTTCCACATTCGACAAACACTATGGGTGAGGGTCGAATCATCCTAGGTCCCTCTGCCCTGTGAATAAGACGGCCATGTCCAGGTATGTCATGATTTTCACAATACAACAGACATGGCTGGTCTCCTTTAAGTCCTTACATAACCTTAAGAAGTAATTCTTTTATACCAGACCTGTTACTGTCTCTATCCACGCCCTTTCTAATTACACATTCACCATAATAGATAATTGTTTACCTGTCTGTTAGTCTAAACAGAATTGTGCTCAGGTTTTTCAATCTTACTAGTTCCTTTCCTGCAGTTGTTTCAGTCATCGAGCTTGTTCAAACACGCACAGTGGATATTTTGACACAACTATTTTGTCAACCCATAATTTTATCTAATATGTGCCTCTTTCGACATAGTGAGACCAAAGTAGTTTTGCCACGTCAGTAATGGGAGTGTGAAAACAAACATGAAGCGATTTTCAACCAAGTTACAATAGGTTGAGTCACCTATAATTATGAAGTAATTAAAAATAACTACTCAAAATCGGCAAATGTATCTTAATTTGAGCACATTTTGCCTGACTTAAAACAACACTTGCCAAAAGGACAAGCCAAATTATTTTGTTTTAAAAAGATACAAGAAATGTCTCCGTTGGAATGTGGAAAAAATACAACAGTTCTTGAAAAAAGAGTCATGAATTGTTCCATTGGCAAATCTTGTTGTACTCAGAATATATTAAAATTAACATTAAAAAAACACATAATTTAAGCAAATATTATCTCATTTTTGATCACTTTTTGCAGTGTAGGGGCCTTCTAATGGCAACTAATTGTATTGGGTTGTATATTCAAAGTCAAATATGTTAACAGTCACAAAATCAGATGCACAAAATGAGGGACCTAACTCGTAATTTTTGTAAATAATAGATGTTTGTCGCAACAGAAAGTGAAATGTTCCCACAAATCACACCACAACATGCCGTCTTCTGAGAAAAAGTTTGTTTCTGATCTCAAGATGTGAAAACTAGTGATGGAAAAGCAAACTTTGTTAGAGTTAGCTGGATTTAGGAACCTCACTTGAAATAAAACAGTTGTAATGAAAGTAATTTGAGTGGAGGATTTCCTGAAACAAGTTTAACACATGCTGGAGTTATCACACTAGCTTAACTACATCCATTGCTCTAAGGCAAGTAGAAAAACAGACACAAGATAATTTTATCATACACAAACAACACAAGAGGTGCAAATAATTAAAAAAGATAGAGCCATGGGAACAGGACTAAAATGATTTTGTTTTCAGGACCGATTCCTTTGGGTTTCGATATCTGCCGAGCGGCGATAAAAAACTGGATTATAAATGTGATTCTTAGTAAGGGACGTTTGACCAGTTTGACCAGTTTTTACAAAATGCTGTTTCTCCTTTATGTTACAACAGAACAACTTAGAGCGCTTTCTTAACAGATATCAAAGAACTGATAATCGATCAAGCAATTAGTATTTAGCAATATTCAATATCAGAACTGCAAAAAACGCTTGGAATTATACAGATATTGTAAGAATGTTAATCTTTCTATTCTGTTTTAGGTTCTGATCCAGA